GGGGGGAAAAATTAAAAAAAAACAAAACAAAACAAAACAGATTCTCTTAAGATTTAGTTATGCTAAGGGAGGAAAAACATATTATGAAATATAATATCATATATATTTTATTATATATAATAAAATTTTATACATTATATGTTATATATTTATTCTATCTTATATAATATATATCAGTTGTAAAGAGTTTGCCTATCAAGGCTCTGTGTTTAATTCCCATGTACCACAAAAATTAAAAGTTTAAAATAAATAAGTAAACAAAAAAGTCAGGTTTACACAATGCTTCCACATTACCTTGCACTTAAGGTACGTCTTCCTTGATATGGCTATCCTGTCAGCACTTAGGAGGCTGAAGCAGGATGGTGAATTCCAGGCCAGCATGGCCAACTTATAGGGTGAGACCCCTGCTTCGAAAACCGAAACATGGGCTGCAAAATGGCTCAGAGGGTAAAGGTGCTTGCTGCCAAGCTTAACAACCTGAGCTCTGTCCCAGGAACCACGTGGAGAGAACAAACTTGCAAACTGTCCTCTGATGCGTGCACAACCACACAAACACAGAGAAACAATACATGTGATTTTAGAGAAAAAAAAAAAGACACAAAGTAAGAATATTGTACTAATCAAAGTGATAGGTTTGGCCCAGATTGAAGATGAGCGTGAAGGCCAGGCTGTGAAGGCGGCCAGGCTGTGAAGGCCAGGCTGTGAAGGCCAGGATGTGAGGGCCAGGCTCTGAAGGCCAGGCTGTGGGGCTTCCTGGGGCCACTAGTTTGATGATGTCTCATTGACAGCAGAGAGGCAGTACAGGGCTGTGACCTGTCCTCCCACCACCTCCCTCGTGGGCCTTGCATCTTGCCTTTGGCATGTCAGTCTTCACCTTAGAGAGTGTCTCTCGGGATAGCACACTGACGGGTGCTTCCCTGGCTCCACGAAGCATCGTGTGCTCCACTTGTAGACTCACCCAGACACCTTGTCACTATCCCCCACTAGTGACACTTGGTATCCTGGGCCCCTGCCCATCATGGAGGAGCCTCAGACAGCTGCCATCTCTTAAGCCAAAGAGCAATCAATGGTGGTTTTCAGGCAGAAGTCCAGGCTGTCCGCAAAGGAAAGGAGAGGGCTCCCACTTCTCTCAAGTCTAGTGTGTCGGCTCCAACCTGTGCCGAGCCCAGGCAGGGAAGTCCCTCAGTACGGTGCTGCTTCCATGTTCCCTCCCCCTGGGAGCTGGCAGGCCCAAGGGAAAAACAAAAGAGAAGGAGGAGGAGGAGGAAGAAAAAGGGAGGCTTATATATTTGGCCAAGGCAGAGTGTGGTTCAAAAGAAAATTGGATGGATAACATTTCATGGAGGCAGCACTCAACTGTACTGTGAGCACCATGCTGAATTTTGCCAACGTTGACTTCTTCGGGAAGAGCCACCATAGCTTTTTCTTTTTCTTTTCCTTTTTTAACAGACAAAAGAGTCTGGCTAAAAGATCAGGGTGGGTGGCTTCCCCAGGACACAGCAATGCCAGGCATTGAGGCCAGATGACCTTCTTCTGGAGCCCAACGGCTGTTACCAAGGTGTTCCCAGTCACTGTCTTCATTAGGAAACCCTGCTCTCTCTCTCTCTCTCTCTCTCTCTCTCTCTCTCTCTCAAAGCTGGGTTTTCCACTCTTCATCTTAGCTGGAGAGTGGAGCCCTCATTCATCACTCAGCTTAGTGACTGCTTCTAAGAATCATTAAATTAGAAAATTGTTCTTAGCTTGATCCTTCAAGTCTCTGACCAATATCTCTTCTGTGTCTTCCCATATCAATGTGCATAATTATCATGTATGTGATATATATATATACACACACACACACACACACACACACACACACACACACACACACACATACATACACCAAGAAACATAACATATCCTTGTCTTCCCAGTTTGAACATTTTGGCTAATGAGTATGTGACATAAAACGACAAATAGTGTTGGGGATTAGAGAATAAACACAGGAGGAATTCCCCCCTCCAAGCTTGGCAAACACAATAACCCCCCAAATAATATCAGTAGTACTTAAATAAATAAAAGGTAAAATAAAAAGAGAAAAATCAACAAGGGTCAGGTGACTTAGCTGGATGGTCATTTTTCTGTAGCTGGAAGGTGTGTTGTGGGTGACACTAAGTGGGCACAGGGCACACTACTGATTGCTAGCTGGGCCACTGGGGGGCAGCACCGGGCAGACGTGGCCAGCATTGTTGTGGACACTGGCCATGAGTGGAGTCATTATTGATAGGATAAACATTTGCTCCCTGGTGAATGTTAGCCAAGAGGAAATGTTGACCCTCAACGGGCTAGGCCACATTAGCCTCTGTTGACCTCTACTGTCATGGACATCACCCTTGGAAAGGAACTAGGTACACGCGGACTTCACAGGAAGTGACGAAGCCTCTGCGTTACATCCCTGGTGGTCTTGCGAGCTGGTCTGATGGCACTTGGACACGAGTTTCTGTCCCTCTGCTACTTTTTTTCTGAGAGCCCTTTGGCCCTGGCAATATGGAGGAAGGGGGGGATGGCAGCACCCAGAGGAGAACTCCTGTTCCAGAGGAGTTCCTGCTCCAGAGATTCCAATAGGCTCTTGCACCAGGCTGTCCTGTCGTTCTCACCACACTAGGCATGCCTCTGTCTCTCTCTACTAATGAGACGACCAGTCTGGGAAGGTGGCTTTGTGGATAGTGGCAGCTTAGAAGGGACCTTGCTTTCCGGCTCTCCTCTTGCTATTCTGAAAATTAAAAAAAAAAAAAAAAAAAAAAAAAAAAAAAAAAAAAAAAAAAAAAAGTGAACAGCATTGTGTCCCAGATTCGTAGAGCCAATTCTGAAGCGCAGAATGCGGTCACCTGCTGTAGGACCTGGGTCTGCTCCTTTACAGGCTTCAGCCTCACATCTGTGAAAAGGGGCAGGAGAAAAGTGTGTAACTCTGACCTTGGCTTGCTCTGCTGGAGGGTCTAGACGGAATGTCTGATGGGATCTACTTAGAGCTGTATAATCTCCCCTATCTGCAACCTAACGGCCTTTTGATGTTCCTGAGCACCCTTCTGCTCTCGGGTTCTCAGCCGTGCTGTCGCCCCACTCATGAGCAGTGACAGACAAGGGGAGAATGAGGGCAACCGACAGATGAAGCTAGCCCTCGGCTGCTTTCTTCATTTATACGGTGACAGAAATACCCAGTGCAGTTGTGAGGGGGGGAGGGCACTTTGGGAGCACCTCATTCAGTGGCTGCCATAGTTTTCGGTTCTGCACACGTGACAAACTCTCTCTCTCCTTGTGGATAAGGATATTTTCACCTTCATGTTATTCAGGCTCAGCGAAGTCACGCAATTGGTTTTGTGATGAATCCAGGACTTCTTGTGATGAACCCTATGAATTCAAAACAGAATCTTCGCGTGAAGTTGGAGACTGCATATTCTAACGGCCTCGTCCTAGGTGCCAGGATCTCTGGAGGGCAGGACCCCATGAGTGTATCCAGACGGATGCCTGGAAGGCACTCACAGCCTTCCTCCGCCTGTGGGCGCCGACCCGGGGTGTGGCCACCAGCTGGTGCTGTGGGCCAGATGCCGCCCCAGAAGCCCTGCCCGGGAGGCTTTAGGCAAGCAAGAGGCTGTCGGTGTTCTGATGTCTCCTGTCACAGGGTGAACCTGCAGGCTGATGGCTGTGCGCCCCCCTCACTCCAGGAGCTCCAGCCCTGCACCATCTTCTTTCTATCGCTTTTGAGAGAGGGTCTAATGGGACGTAGGCTCACCTCAACCTTGCAGCCCCAGACCCTCACGTAAGCCATGGTCCTCAGGAGTCCTGGCATCACTGGTATGCACCACCAGCCCCTGCTCCTGGTGCAGCCGGAGTGCTGAGATCTCGCTACTATTTTTCTTTCTTCTGGATTTGTTCTCGTCTTTAAGATTCCTGTGTGTGAGCAGGACTTCACAGAGAGATCTTGTCTCAAAACAAAAACAATGCCTTCCGCAAAGCAGGACTTTGGGAGGGTTCAGGCCTATCATGTAACAGTACCATACCTCCCCAGTCCAACATTTGAAGCCTCTCCTGCCTGGTAGAGGGCTGCCCTGTGCCCCACCTGAGCAAATATAGGGCTTGGGACTCTCCCACCCCAGCTGTCTGTGCTTATCAGGTACCAGCCAGGGCTCAGGGTTTGTAGTCGATAAATCTCCCATGGCGACCTTACTGGCAGGAATACCCAGTTCCCTGGATGGATGCCCACTGTTGGGGTGTTCTGGACCCTGTGCCATTAACCCCTCACCCATGAACTTTCCTAAGTGCTGCCTCCTCGTTCTAATCTACTTGTCACAAGTGATGCAGGTCCTCTGTGAGGCTCACCGGCTCAGAGCTTTTCCTTTCTAGGGGTCCTGGTGTGTCCCCAGGGCAGAGACCCCAGGTGTGATCTTTTGCAGGTCAGCGCAGGGCCTGGCTCCGAGTAGGTACCAGGAACAGATTGCTGTTGGTGTGGATGATGGTGCTGATACTTCCCTAGACTGGCCAGTCAGAACCAACCTGTTGACAGCCCAAAGCCCACAAGAAGCTGGAAGGGAGCCGTCACAGAAGTATGCAAACAGGAGCTTAATGCCAATGATGGGCAAAGCGACCAAAAGGGAGACTTTGGGAAAACTCCTAAGGCACATTAGGAACTAGGAGTCCTAGGTGAGAAAGAGTTGACAGGGCAAGGGCAGAGTTCCACAGCTGCAGCCAGAACTGAGGCAGGTGTGTGCAAGGGCCCAGCAAGCTCACAGCTAAAGCTGGACAGATGGTGGGTGGAGGTGGGGCGGCACCGGGTATAGGAAGAGTGTTAACCCACCCAAAGAGCTGACACCTTGTAATACAGAGCTGATATCTTGTAATACACCCCCAATTCGGGAAGGTTCTTGGCCTTTTCTGGGAGAACAAGCTGCGAAAGTGGAGTCTAATGTATATTTGGAGCACCAACCCCAGTCCAGCGATTGTCGACAAATACTGGCTCAACGATGGAAAGAACTCTTACATGTGTTTATTAAACCAAAGACCGGTCAGGGGCTCGGCTAGGGCTGGTGTGGGAACACAGAGATCTCACTGACCCATTAGCATCCTGTGGGACCAGCCCCAATGCCCACACGGTCACTGATAGCCAGCTTCTCCCCACGAACCCCAGCACACACCCGGCACATAGTCTTACAAAAGTGAACAAATACATTTATCTTCTTTTCCATCCCCGGCCAGCAGAGGAGGGGGTTGAAAGTGACAGTTCATTAAAAAAAAAAAAAAAAAAGGCAATGATTCTTATAAAATGAAGACAAAGGAAAGAACCCAAGGCTGGAGAGCTGAGACATGGCCCTGGGGATGAGCATAATGAACATGGAAGGAGACCCTTCCTGCTGCACTCCGGGGAGGGTGAAACGGGCCTTCGGACGGTGGCCCATGGACACCAAGTCCACGGGAGCTCACGGCCAGACGGCCACCATTGCACTGACTTCTGAGGAAAGCATCTTGAGACGGTGTCCCCGGGGAAAATGTGCACGTTTCCAGTCTTGATGCTGCGGGACCGCCACCCCAGAGCAAGAAACTAACAGGCTTGGGACTAATATGTCCCACGCTTCCTGAGGCTCCGAGAGGTGGGCTGACTCCCTCATACCATAAGCCGGCTGCTGGACCTAGGGTCCCACCTCTGCAACCTTGCTGTTGCCAGCTCCTGGGCACAGCGGGAAGGAGCTCAGACAGCAGTGACAGGGCGCCCAGCAGGGGAAGGGCTGGGCGACAGAGAGGAAAGCACACAGACCCTAACCTCAGCAGGAGGCTGGACTCTTCACACCTTGCCAAAGCTCCAGGTCAGCAGGTTGGCTACTCTTGGTACGTTATTCATATCTGCCCCCCAGGGAGGGCGGATTTGATTTTCTCTCTAGGTCCTCCTGGAATGAAGATTCTACCCAGGATTCCATGAGAAAAGGAAGGAGCAGGCCTCATGGGCCCAGAGCAAAGATGTGACTAGATACTGGGCTAAGGGACCTTGGGCCCGGGAGACCTGCTTCGGTATTTGCAGTAGTGGTGCCCACCCTCCTGACATCATGAGTCAGGTCAGCCCAGGCAAAAGGGAAGGCACTTAGGGACAACTGAGGCAGTGCTCAGGAAGGGACCCGCTGCTCACAGTTCTGGGAGGTGAGCCACTGAGACACATGGGTAGATTCTGTTACTGGGTACAGGCCCCAGGTATGAAAACTATCCCTGGCCCCACAACTTTACTGAGATGCCGCCACTTAGGCCTGTAAACTCTCCACAGGCATTGGCACGTTAAAATATAAGTTAGCTGGGACCTGAGCAAGCCCAGGACAGCGGTCTGTCAAGTGGTCCCGGGCCACACCATTCGTCACAAGATGTCTGGGCGCCTGACAGTAGATTCCTGGGTGTCTCCACACCGTAGGAGCACCTTAGGGCTGGAGCCCGGCTGCCGGTGGTAGGCGCCCTCCCGCACCAGGCGCCGGCACCGCACATCTTGGCTTACGCTGACACTCTGTAAAGCAGGGAGGTGATGGAGCAGCATCTCAGGTAGGGGCACCAGGCTGGTGCCCGACAGGTCTAGCTCCTGCAGCAAGCCCAGGCCTGAAAACACCTCAGTTCCTGCCCACTTGAGCTTGGGGTTGCCTGACAAGTCCAGGACCTGCAGGCCTGGGAGCTCACGGAAGCCGTGAGGGGCCAGCTGGAGGATACCCTGTAGGCTGGCCAGTGACAAGTGGGTGAGGCCTGCCAATCCCATGAAGGCACCTGGGTTGATGGCAGCCAGAGGGTTCCCATCCAGGCTCAGGTAACGAAGGGGCAGGTCTCGGAGGTCGGGCACAGCCTGGAGCCGATTCCAGGACAGGTTCAGGCTCTGAATGGTAGGTGCTGGCAGGCTGGCCCGGGCTGGATGGGGCAGCAGGTGGTGGATAAGGTTGTGGGATAGGTCCACATGCAGCGCCCGGCCCTGGCTGTGCGTGGTGAAGGCGGAAACTGAGACCTCTCGTAGTCGGTTATGGCTCAGGTTTATATCACTCAGAGGGGAGCTGGTGAAAACCTCTGCTGGCAGGGCTGCCAGGCCATTGTGGCTGAGGTCAAGGGACTCCAGATAGCGTAGGCGGGAGAAGGCAGTGGGCGTGATGCTGGTGAGCAGGTTGTGACTGAGATCCAGGCCAGCCAACGTGGTATAGCCTGGCCCTGCCAGCACGGACTCATTCACAGTTTCTAGCCGGTTGGAAGACAGGTCCAGGTGGGCTGTGTCCAGAGGGATGGGCACAGGCACGATGTGGGGGCCCAGGCTGCTGCAGTCCACCCGAGTCAGGCTGAAACTGTCAAAGAGGCCAAAAGTCTCTTCTTCACACTGGCATCCCGGGAAGCACGGCCGAGTTGTCTGCACCCTGCCCGTGGCCAGGAGCAGCAGCAGCAGGGAGCACAACATGGTGGCACCTGGGAAGAGAGCCACGGGTGAGGGGTGGACATGCCAGGCACCTTTATCCTGCCCTATAAGACACAGCCTATGTGCACGGACACAGCTGGAACTTGCCACAGCTCCCAGCCTCCTCGAACACTCCTAACCCCTAGTCCTGACTTTAATCCAGCCTCAGTCCCCACATCTGGATGGATAAGGGTTAGGCCAGGTGGGTGGATTTCCAACTGGGAGCACCAGACACAAGTGGCCTGCTCTGGCTGAAGTAAGGGCACCTGGACATCTTACTGTGAAAACTGGTAGCCCAGACAGTCTCTTGGCTGGTTTCACTCTATCTGCTGATCAGGGGCTTGGAGGCTGCTGGAGACCAGGTATGCCAGACAGGAGTTCACAGGGCCGCGTGAAGGTGGGGGCTTTGCTGAAAAGGTGCCATAGTGTGGGAGCTAAGCTGGCTGCCTCAGAGCACAGTCTCCTCTAACCCTCACAACCACCTACAAGACAGAGTCCTGTCTCCATTTGAGCAAGACGAAGTGAGCAGTGAAGAGTCGGAGACAGGCACGGATGAGGCTAAGCATGGTGGTGGTAGGTGAAATAGACATAAGGACCAGGACCTTTTGCTGCCGACTAGCAGGGACTGAACTGACCCTTCCTGCAGTGACCGCCCTTCACCCCTTCTGCCTCCGCTGGCTCTTCTGCAGTAGCATCTTCCTTGGGAACCCAGATAAGCCTGAGGGACACCCGCTACCCTAAGCCCCAGCTTTCTTGCCTGTGCCTTACTTCCAGCTAACACAGCTGGCTCGCCTCTCTGCTCCCCCACTTTCAATTGTAAAAGACAGATGGCTTGTTACCCCACTGTAGAGAAGAAGAAGTGGAGGTCGGCAAGAACAAGTGCCTCGCCACCCAACCAGCACAAAACAGGGCGGATTTCGACCTGGGCCTGCTCAGTTCTCCTGCTTCCAGCAGGCCTGGTGGGAAGTAAGGCGGAGGGGCTTTCCTCACAGACAGATGCAACAACTCCAGCCACCCACCCCTCGATCTCAGGGGTGAAATCACAACAGAAGCCACTACAGATGACCGGCACTGTGCATGCTGCCGCATGCTGCCGCAGCTGAGGGTTGCATGGGTCCACACTAGGCATACTGAAGGCTTGCGCGCAGGTGCTAGGTGGTATTAGCATGAGAACCAAAGGATTATGGGGTGACACCTCCCAAGTGACTCTCTCCCATGCTGGGTGGCCACTCGGGAAACAGAAGGCTCTTCATCTGCATGGCCTGCCCTCCTGCCTGTCTCCCTTCCATGGGCCTCCAGGGAAGGAAATGGGGGTGAGGTGGGAGGGGTGAGGACCTGCCCACCTTCTAGGCTGGGGGTGCAGGAGCAGCTGGGTAGCATTACAGGCCCCGCATAAAACTTTAAAGGGGCTGCCACTTGATCTGCGTGCACTCTGGCTCTGTCCTGGGTCAGAGAGAAGTGGGGCTGGGCTCTTCTCCGCTACCCAACCCTGGGGCCCTTCTTACCCACCCCTTTCTTTTGTAGAGACCAATTCGAGGATTAAAGCCGGTCCAGGTGCATCCTGGGCCTGGTCCCAGCCAAGGCAAGACAGAGCGTTCCAATGTTTGTACCAAGAGGAAAATATTAAGTTGCTCCAGGCCCCCTTTGTTCCCCCACGGAGCTCTTCAAGAGTTCATTACCCCAACCCCTACCCGGCCCTCCCACTGAGCTGATCTGCTCCTACCCACCCTGCCTGGGGTTTAAACAAACACCACAAAGGGCCCCAATATTACCCTTCGGCTCCCAGGGGTGATTATACAATGTGTCCAAGAAATGCCAAGTGGCTTCCCCTGAGCTCCAGCTTATGTAACCAGCAGGGCAAACACAGCCCAGATGTTGCTCTCCTCTAGATCCTCTGTACTCTACACAGGCAATGTCCATTCTGCCATCCTCACACAAACCAACAGACCCCTGCCACTGCAACTGTAAAAAGCTGAGCACAGGCCTGGAGAACCTGGAATGAAGCAGTGGTCCTCATACTGAGATACAGGGGACAAGAGTGCGGGTGGGGTCCCAGCTGGGCAACTTGGCTGATAAATGCGCTGGGCCAGAGCCTCGCTCTTCTGTGCCATGAACATCTCCCAGGGCCCCTCCCCTTAGTTCCTGGGGAACTCTAGTGTGAAAAAGGAAGTGGCACAAGCCCCTCTGTAGTCCTTGAGTTTGCCCAGTGAGGCCGACTGTCCCGTCCCTCGTTAAAGGATCCAAAGAGTCACTCACTAACCTATGTGATGTGCAGACAACTGCAGGGTAGATGAACTGGGTAGGACAGTGCTTTGCAGAGCTGCTCTATGGACATGTCTCCCTGATGGAGGTCATGCCCAATGCAGCCGGGACACCGACAGATATACAGGGTGAGCTGTTCTAGCTCTCTAGGCTCGACGTCAGACAGGGTGCCTCATCATGCCTCACCACACTCCAGAGCGCTGATAAGAAATCCGAGGGCAACTCCATCCTGGGACAAGTCCCCAGGGAGTCAGGAGCCATAGGTCTTGGTCACTGCTCTGCCCTGTACGGTTATGATCACCAATCAAGCCCCACCCTCTCTGTGAGCCTCTGCTTCCCATCTTAACGAGTTTAGTACCAACCGGAGAGTTACAGGATTTCAAAGCTGAGCAAAGCTTTTGCTAAGCACAAGGCATGGGATTAAGCCTTGCTGGGGTGTGAGTCTGTAGAAGGTTTGCACTCCTATGGCAACAGCACTAACATCTCGGACCCAGGAGGCTTCAGTCTTCATGGTTTTTCACATGTTATTTCCAGAAGTTTGAGTTCCTCATCTGTGTAACAGTATCAGTGTTGCCCAGCCTCCACTCCAGGACCTCTACCCTGGGAGGAAAGGCAAGGAGATACACAGACAGCACAGAGAGGCGGGTGAGGCAGACAGGCATCCACAGAGGCTGTCTGCGGAGGACAGAGTTCTCTAGGTCAAGAGATCTTTTCTACAAATGCCGACCTGCAGATGAAAGTCTTCGGAGGATCAACACAAGGCCAGACACTTCACACAGCTCTGGTTTGGAAGACAGCAGGTCCTGGGAGGACAGCCATGAGCTATTTAGGGCCCAGGACGTCAAGTCCACAGAGACTCTAAGAAAATGTATGCTGTCGGCCTGTGAGGCCAAGCATGAGTGGTGTGAACGCTATGGGCCTGGCACTTCCGAGGGGTTCCCTCCATATCACATCCCAAATTTTCCATGAGGCAGATTTGACTATATCACCACCCTCAGGGATTTTTCGTGAAACTACAGAGATCAACTGCTCCCAGACTCATGGCCTCTGGAGGTTGGAGATGCCCTTCTCCCTTCCCTGCTTGAATTCCCTTAGAGATTGGACCCTCTTTGTCTTCCTCTGGCTTCCCTAAACAGTCAGCTGTTGTTCACACTGTCCGCAAACACAACGAATTCCAGACTCCTGAACCTCAGCTCCCTTGGAGATGTCAGGTGACTGAGGCCCCCAGGGGCAGTAAGGGAACCAAAACAGCAGAGCAAGGCTCAGGAGCTGGAGACCCACTACCTCACACTGTTCCTCGAATCACACACATCCACCAGCCTGCCCCTGCCCAGTGGAACAAAGCAGTCTCTGTCCCCACAGGCTCCCGCCACCCCTCCCTCCCAGCCTCTCACACCTCAGGCTACCAAGAGGCCTCCTTCAGAGGGTACTGAGAACATTTAAATTTCAAACATAAGGGGCGTGCAGCTTGGCACAGAGTGCCTCCTTCTTAACCTATCTATGTAACCCTCCCTAACTGGGATCAAAGTTAGACCCAGCTGCAGGGAGGCAGCAACAGAGGTCCAGCAAGAAAGCCAGGTGGGTTGGCTGCTGGACCTGGGACGGGCTGGGAATCCAGCGCTACCTACTGGAATCTCAGAGGTCTCTGCAGGGGCAAGGAATGAAGGTTGAGGAAAATGTAGTGATGGGGCATTCTCCTGAGAAAGTGCTTAGTCCCTTGTGGCCAACGATGACCAGGATTTTCTAAATTTCCTGGAGGTGGTAACTTATAGCCTTCCTTTCACCCTCCCCACCCATGTTCCAGGCACCCAGCAGGTCCATGGTAGTTTGCATTGACCTCTCAGACATGCTGTTGGTGTCTGCTAGTGAGGCTCCAAACAGACTCCTTTTCTGTGGACACCTCTCTGGAGTGAGAGGTTGAAGTCCAGGCTCCCTGTCTGGATGCCAGGCCCTGGTTCCAGCGCCATAGCATCCCTGGCCTGCAGAACTTCCTAGCTTTTGCTAACAACTTCAACAGGGAACCCTGGGGCACAGAAGCCAAGTGGGCCCGGGAGCTAGTTACAGGTTGGCTCAGTGCCCAGCATCCACCTAGGACAGGTCTTCATGTCAACCAGCTGTGCCTCGACCCCAGGTGGCCTCGCACCCCACTCCCCTCTGTCCTGAGCGTACTGATGACAATGAACTCCTCCGGGAGAAATTGCATGAGTGTCCACCCTCTGACCACTGAGCTCTGGAAATCAGAATTAGAATTTGGGGAAGACTCGGAGCCTCCAGGCCTGGCTTTCTCCACAGAATCGGTATTGCAAGCACGTCAGCTCCCCAGGTACGTCACTGCTGCCCCTCCACAGTCCTTAACGGTGGTGACTGTCACCCCTGTTGCACAGGCAAACTACTGAGGTATTCACTGGCATGCTGTTCAGCCAGGTCATAGGGGAACAAGGAACCAGCCCCAGACGTGTTAGCTTCAGACCCACACTTGGCCCCAACTTACCAACAGGCAGTGTGGACAGCTGCTTAGGGCTGGCAGTGCTGGGCTTTAATGTCATGTTTACCTGTGTGTTCTCATGGGCAGGGAGGGAGAGGTAGGACTTTGCTTCTTTCCCCTCCCCCCGGATCAGGTACCATATTTAGATGTGCCAGGTATTGGCCGCCTGTCTCGGTGCATGCCTGCAATCTCAGCATTCAAGAGACAGTGGCAGGGGAATCTCTGTGAGTCGGGTTCACACAGTGAGATCTAGGGCAGCTGGGGCTATGTAGTAAGGCCCTGTTTCAAAACAAAAAACCAACCAAACAAAAATGCCTAAAAGATGTATCGGGTGTCACCAAAGGAAACCTCAGCCTGTCCCACACATCCTCAGCTATTATGTTTGATCACCCAGCAAAACCAGGGAATGTGATGGCATTGTATTTGTCTTTCAGCTGTTCAGTCTAAAAGGCTCAGCGGTTTGTCCAGAGTCCCACAGTCAGTGAGGAGACAAAGGCTGGATCCAAGTAGTCTGACTCTAGCACCTCATGTCCTTCATGACATCTTTGGTACGTATGAGTGGGGCCTGGAACTTCAGCACCCTCCCACCAAGGAATGTCATCTACAGGGAGACAGACAAGGCCCCAAATGCTATTTTCTCCTTCCAGTTGATCTTTGAGGAAACTGTCAAGTTCCCACTAATCTGAAGCAACATGTGAGAACACAGGGAGAAGCTGCATGGGTCAGGAAAAAAAAAAAAGAAAAGAAAAAAAAAAAGAAAAAAAGGATTTGAAGACTGGCTTTCACGTGACTTTGAGGATTTCATGTGACTGTGAGGAGCCAGGCCTGGGCTGGTGCTGCTCCCAGCTGGGCCCTGTACTGATTACTTAAGAGAAAGCGAGGACTCAGCCTGGGCTGGCCCCAACGGGTCTCAGTGCGTGTTCAGGCCTGCCTCGGTGGGTGATTGCAGGGTCCGAGAAGAGATGGCAGGATGCAGAAGAACCTAAAAGTTAGCCCAGATGGCCCTGGATTCTCAGTGTCCCATCCAGGGCCCTGACCAAGTTACCCTGCAATCTGGGAAGGTGACAGAAGCTTCGGGAGGCTGAAGCAGTGGGTGCCACCTACAGTTGAATGGGAACTGGCATTAAATCAGCAGTCACCCCCAGGCAGGCAGGTCACTGTCTCTCCTCTTCCTCAAGTTGGGTAATCACCTCACCCTGCCCGGGTCAAATTCAGGAGACCTCTGTAGCTGCCTGGTCTCTGGCCTCTGGCCTCCACCTCTAAACACTGCCACAGCTCTAAACAATGGCCATGCCAGGCACCAGATTATAGCTTCCAACTGAAGACCAAGCCCCCACCACTGTGCCCCTAAAACCCATTCCACAAAGACATCTTCTCAGGCTGGATGCCTGTCACTCCCCAGGGACCTCTTTGTGAAGGCTACTTCTTTTGACAAAGATAGCAAAGACCCACCCCACCCCCTTTTTTGTCTTCCACAAACTCTCACTTGTTTGATTCAAAAGCTACCATTTCTGTGAGGCCTTCCCAGCCTAACCTGGCTCTCATCCCCTGAAGGGGCACCAGGCTATGGCTGTCTAAGAATGAGTCCAACTCCTAGCATGGATACTAGTATGGTAAGGGAAGAAACTAGAGGAGTTTCTTCAGGAGTTTCATCAGGAGGTTAGAGAGGCCTCCTTCTGCTTGGGTGCTTCCTGGAACTCAGGGTTTGGCTAAGTGGTAAAACCAGGTTTAAGATTGGGGTTCATGCTAGTTCTGCCTCTACTTGTATTCACACAATGTAATGAGACACCCTGAAACCATATTTCAATTCATTAGCACATGTAGTAATTTGTTGTGCTATTTAACATTCACAACACATCAGTGGGCAGGAGTCAGGAGACTGAGAATCTGACAGGTGAAGTAACACATCCCAGGTGACAGAGGTGGGAAACTATGGATCAAGAGCACAACTCCCAGACTTTCTGATTGGGAGGCAATCGGCACCCGGTCTTCTGACAGGCCTCCCAGATTCCAGCGCCATCCAAAAGCCAGGGGAAAGCTTTAGAATGATCAACAACCCCCCTCCCCGCCATCCCCCGCCTCACCAAGATGGTACTGTTTCTTCCAGCAGCTCTCGGCACAAAGGCTCAAACTCCAGAACAAGCTGGTGATCGGTGATTCACCTTTGACTTCCCTCCCAGCTTCTGGGTAACTCCTATTCCTCAACACCCAAACCTTGTACTCACAAAGGCAACTACCTGTGTACTGTTTCCAGAACACACAGAGATCGGCAGGTACTGTGGGCGGCCCTTTCCAGCCTCTGCCATGTATTGGAAAACTTCAAAGCCACAAGGAAAGTCACCTGCTCTGCCAGGTCCCTCCCATGGTCTGCTCCTATGGAACCTGTCTTAGAACTTGCTTTGGCAGGGGACTTCCAGGGTGAGCCCAGCCCTCTTCGGGAAGTAGCCCCAATTCCTAGGCTCAGAGCCCTGAGAAAGGATGGTGAACCTAATCAGATACATTGCCTCTGCTTTGTGCCAGAAGATATTAAGAAGAAAACTGATTTGGATTCTGTCTCTTGCCCAGTCTGTCATTTAAGATAACCAACATCAGCTTTGGCCTTTACATGGCTCATTGGAACAGGGTGGGTGGAAGCCCCGGATTCAAGTTCTCCAGGCTGTTGCATCCCAGCCTTCCTAGGAACAAATTAATGCCTGGGAGCACAATAGTTTCCAGGCTCCAGGATCTCTGGTAATCAGGAGAACCACAAGGGCGTACAGAGACTGTCTACACTCCCTCTTTCATACGGAGGGACTAGAAACGAAAAGGAAAGTGTCCATAGATGCCTCTTTCCCAAGTTTGTGGCCATCCTTCTTCTCCTCCCTACCGCGCGCCCCCTAGGGTAGTACCGGGCAAAGTTCTTGGTTAAAGATTTGTTTGGAGGGCTGGAAAAGAAATGTCTTGCTTATCATTGCCACCCAGGATCAAAAGCTCGGACAGAATGGAAACCCTCCCACTCTGGGGGCTCTGCAAGTCTGGACTTATCCGAAAGGATAGCATGGATCAAGAAAGGATCGAAGTTTGAGTCACCTCTCGGCCCAGCCAAGTGTGGGCGGGTGCTGCTCAGCTAAGGTCGCCACGCTGGTTACCACCACTGCGCGCTCCGCTCAGGCGGCGGCGGCGAGGAGTCTCGTCCCATCCGTAACAGGGACCAAATCTCGATCGGGCTGAGCAACACGCTCATGCCCTACCGTGAGCCACTGACTGTCCTCTTAGAAACTAGTGTGTGCAAGGGCCCCTCTCCCCACAGCCCAACCAGGGGGAGGAGGCAGGAGCAGACCGGATGCAGTGGCCTTTCTCACCTTTTGGATTGGAAGGTTGGTCCCCTAGCTCTGGGGTCCGGTTAAATCCAAAGCGGAGCTCAAAGCCAAGCAAGTCTCTCCGCCAAGCAGACAGGTCTCTTAGTCCACACTCACTCTGTCCCAGAGACGCAGAGCAGCCAACTGCCAGCAGCGCGCGACTCCCGGGTCTCCAGCCTCAGGCCGGAGCTCAGACCAGCCGCGTCCCCTGCCTCCTCCCTCTGGGGTCCTGTGAGGGTGTCCAGCACGCTCCGCCCAGTCCTGGCCGGGGCCAGTCGCCAGGCACTGCCGATCACCCCCAACCCACCAATCCTAGCCCACCCCTTCGCTGCTCGGAGGACCTCCGGAGGTGAGAGAGAGGAGGGCTGCCAACAGGCGTTGCCGGAGGAACCCGGAGAAAAGTTTGAAGCCAAGTAGGGGGAAACAGTGGACCGCAGGGGAGTGGAGAGTCTGGGCAGCTTCAGGCTCTCAGTGCGCACACATACCCCACCGACACCCAGCCCAGACACGTCGACAGGCACAGACCACGTAAGCGGACACACGCGGAGCGCCCACCGGTCCCCACAACCAAGCGCGAGGCTGCAGAACGGGGGACCTCGGCGCGAGACAGCCAGGCAAAGCCGTGCACACACAAAGGCGGCAGCAGATGCTGGCTCCGGAGCCCAAATCCACAGAAGACCCACTACTGTGAAATGCACGTGTTCTTACAAAGACCCCGGAGGCGCCGGCCCACGCCCACGGCCCCCAGGCGGAGCCTTTGTCTCCCGAAAACCCTCCTCCCGGCTCCCCCGACCCTGCCCCGCTGCAGCCCGGCGTCCCGGAAAAGTTGAGGGGCCTCGGCAGGAGCCGGACCCGCCCCTCGGCCGGCCTGCCCGCGGGATGGGGCGGCGAGGCTGGGGTCCCGGGCTCCAGACCTCCGCGCGCGCCGCGCCTCGGGGCAGCACCCACCTGGCAGGCCCACGGCTGTCGCCTCAGCACGCTCACCTAGGCGGCCCGGCGGCGGCCCGCGGGCAGGCGCTTTTCTCGGCGCCGCGCGTCCCGCCCCACGTCCCCGCCCGCCGCCCGGCTCCCCTAGCCGGGCACTCGGTGGCTGCACCCGCGCGCAGCCCGGAGGCTCAGGGAGCGTCGCCAAAGTGCGAGCCTAGCGCGGAGCTCTAGCAGCCCTGGCCCCGCCCGCCGGCAGAGCCCGGGTTCCACCCTAGGGAGCGTCTCAAAAGTGAGCGGTTCCTCCTCACTCCACCAGGCCTCACTCCCAGCTTCCTGCCTCCAGGATCCCTGCCCCCTCTGCTTTCCCTCAGTGGCGCGTCCCAGCAATCTCAGCAGATGGCCTCTGAGTAGGGAACATCTGGAGGTCGCCGGAATGTGTGTGTGTGTGTGTGTGTGTGTGTGTGTGTGTGTGTGTGTGTGTGTGTGTGTAAAAGTTTTTCAAAAAGGTCTAGAGTCACTAAAGGGTGTGTTTGAGAAAGAGAGAGGCAGAGACAGAGAAAAGAGAGAGCATAAGCAGAAAAGCTGGCAGACAGCGAGTGAGGGAGAAAGCAACAGACATAACAGACTTATTATTTCTTTCCTGGAGGGAAAGTCAACTTCTGGCTGGATTTCCAAGAAGGGAAACTGCTCTGGAGTAGTGGCTTAAGTCTTCCCTCCCTCTGCAGCCCAACTTCTCCAGCCGAAATTCATATGCAGCTATGTGGGTTGGGGGGGTGGGGTGCGTGCATGTGAGGGAGGGGGTGTTTGAAAAAAAATAAAGGATGGAAGAGAGAAATTGCCTGCTGCAGGTACTCCTGCCCACATACCCTGACAATGCCCACCCAGAGGCTGGATTACTTCCCATTAAAGGGTTAGATCCAGGTTTGGTTTTGGCTCTGGACCTCCGAGGAACTTTTGGCTTTGGAAAGGGCCCCTGATTGGGGAAGTCCAGCAATGTTCCCCTGCCATGGCCCAGGCTTGTTGTATCCAGTCTTTTCATTTCTTTCTTCCTTATTATTTAAAAACAAAAATCTTTGCTTGGGCTTGTGTGTGTCTGCCTGAGGAAAAGGGAGTTCCCAGTGGCAAAGCCAAACTCACACTCAGAAGAAAGTGTTTGCTCAGACCTTCGCCTTACTCACAGTCATTGTGTGGCCTGGGGACGGGGTGACAGTGATCTGCGTCTATAAACTTGCTGTTACCCTAATACAGGGAGGTGGAGGCAGGGTAACCGTCATTTGAAGACAGCCTAACTGTAGAGTGAGAATGTCTCAAAAGCAGAGGAAAGAACCCCATTGTCCTCGGGAATAGGAGGTCTTTGGGGGAATCTTTTCGCTGTGGCCTCACCTGCAATTGTGATCAACTGGGTACGTTCACCCTTACAGTTGGGCTGCTGGAATTTAGTGCTGCGCCCTTGGAGCCTCCTGGAAGAGTCTGAACTCCACTTTCTGTTGAGTAGGGACACAAGGGGAATGGTGTGGCATTGGTGAAAGAACTCATCAGGTGACCAAAGCAGGAAAAAATAAAAGCAGGTTTATTGAACACACTGAGAGAATTCAGGGAAGTGGGGAGTAGAAAAACCTGTCTGCAGCTACCCTCTTTCTTTTTTAAAAGTTAAAATTATATTTATTTCATTGTTATAAGGATTATTCTAAGGGTGAGGGATGAACCTGTATGTGTGAAAGTCAGAGGGCAGCTTGTGAGGCAACAGTCTTCCTTCTACTATGTGGGGTCCAGGGATAGAACTCAGGTTATCAGGTTTGAAGGAAAATGCTCACTGAGCCCACTATCCTCATTGACCAGGATGACCCATCATGCAGCTCCCATCATGCAATTCCCACATATGGTTCCCACCATGTGAATGATAATAGTTCTTTCTGATTGGTCAGTGTTCAGTTCCAGGAGGAGGCTAATTTTAGAGAGAGCAGCTCTGTGGTCTTCCATTGAGGTTAATTTTGACTGGCCATGTTCACTTGGTGGGAAAGAGTCTGGTCTAGGGCTGTAATTACCTTGATGATCATTAGTGGTCTTGGTTGTTTTCTGAGCTATAACATACTGGGCGAGTTTTGGGGCCTAAGGAAAGATCTCTGAAGGAATGGCCTTGTCCACATGGTACCTTAAATGGGCTTGAGATGTGCCTCTCTTCAGGAGTGATAGGAGAGGAGAGGGAGCCAGGACTGTTGAGTTCCTTGTAGTAAATCACTAAGGAGCCCCTTTAATGTCCCATCCCTAGCTGCCTTTCCTGCTGGTTGTGTGTATGCAGTATACAAATAACACTTTATTTGAAGGGCCTCAATAAAAGCTGAGCTATTGTCATTCCACAGAGAGAAAGGGAGATGGAAGTGAGAGATTACATGTTCAAATGCTGTTGTGCCTTCTGTAGTCTTTTTAGTCTCGGTGGAAAAGGCTCTTTACACAGCCAGTGACAATAACTGCCCATGTTCCTGTAAATAAACTCTCACCTTTGCTCCCTTAAGTAACCTTCATTAAACTCACTGGCTTGTTGCGGTAGTTTGACTAGGAATGGCCCCCACAGACTTGTGTTTGAATGATTGGCCCATGGGAAGTGGCACGATTGGTAGGTGTGCCCTTGTTGGAGGAAGTGTGTCCCTGTGGAGGCGGGCCTTGAGGTCTCCTGTGCTCAAGTTATGCCCAGTGTGCTACACAGTCTCCTTCTGCTGCCTTAGGATCAAGGTGTAGAACCCACAGCTCCTTCTCCAGCATCATGTCTGCATGCTTCCAACCATGATGATAATGGACTAAACCTCTGAAACTGTAAGCCAGCCCCAATGAAATGATTTTTTTTTTTTTTAATAAGAGTTGCCCTAGTCACGGTTTCACTTTACAGCAGTAGAACCCTAAGTAAAACACTCATAAAAACGTTATAAAAGGGGGGTTAGCTAGAAAGGTGATCAACAGGAACTCCCCGTGGGAGTTTATTCTAAGAGGGCATAGGGATCTGGTGGAGCAGCATACAGAGACCACAGCCTTGCTGACAACTCTAAGGTCTTCTACAAACTACTGTCATCAGGCCTTCTGACTACCAGTATGGGCATGCCACGAGGGAAGTCACAAGGACAGAGTAGACTGATGGCTAAATGCTTATAAATAAGGGTATGGACATCCCTGGACTTCCAGCTTGGGGAGGGGTGCCTGGAAAAGGAGTTGGAATTTCCGAGAAAAAGTTTTGTAGAGATTGTGCACCGTGACCATTCAGAGAGAAAAAAATAGCTCCCAGAGGGAATTGGGCGGGGGAGGGGTCTATGGTGTGCCTGGGAAAGAGGGGTCAAGGAGAGCTAATGGGCATGCTAGCCTGTACTAAATTTTGACAAGATGTCTCTCCCTAAGAGTGTAGACGGCATTTCAAGAATACTAAGAAGGAGTGTGTAAAAGTTAAATTCTTCTAAGGAACACTGTAGAAGGGGTGTGGGGTGGCTTAGCCCTGCAAGACTCACCCACCAATCCCAACTCCAAAGAGGAGGATCAAAGACCGAAAGAGGATCCAAGGAAGTTGCTCAGAAGTGGCTTCCATGTTGATTAAGACATTACTTCTAGTTTCTGCTACATCCAGGGTCACCTGAGGCTCTTCCATAGAGATAAAAAATATATATGAGAATCTATATACAGACAGTCCTCCCACGCCAGAGTCCAAGAATAGAATCAGCGATACCTTCCATCTCCTGGCCATAGTGTCTCCAGGACTTTGGGTATTGAGCTAACCCTCCCTTTTCAGAGAGAGGGGCAGTCCTGGATCCAATGTCCCCTCTGTTTGCAAAGTGGGTATGGGCCAGTTTTGACAGTTTTGACTAAAGTGTTCCGGCTAACTCAATGAAAGTAACTACAGAAAAGGATATTGCTTGAATATGGTCTCCCCAAGCAGGACAGAAGAAACGGAGATGAAGCTTTAGGCTGTTTGTATCATGATGGAGGCACCTGGAGCTGCCCCAGCATAGGCTAGAGCCATTGCATTCCCTTTCTTCCCTTTCCTTCTTGATTCCCAAGCCTTCCCCCCCCCCCCAGTCGTTAAATACCCTGATGCAAAGTAGTGAAAGAAATTTTATGCCCGTTGTCCAGCTTTTTTGTCTGATTACTGAGGAGGACTGACTGATGAAATGGGTTGAAATGTGGCATGGCCTTCAGGACCCTCTGGGTCCAGGTTACTACTTACCCATAGCCTCAACCCGTCTGGAGTTAGACAGGGCTGGGTTCTCAATGGGGCCTTGGTTTATCTCTCTCAGTTCGGGATAATTGACAGGAGTTATCACTACTGGTTAATCAATATTAACATGCAATCATGGCTCTCATTACCAGCATCCTTCTCCTCAGGCTCCTGCCAGGGTCTATTTGGGGGAAGGGTCTTCTACAGGAGCGGCTTCCCACAGGATTCAGATGTGGGCCTCATTGGCCCATCATTCAGCCAGTGACCAAGCACAGACCTTTTCCTCATGTGAACAGCAGGTAGCAAAAAGAATGCATATATTCTTCTAGTTAGGTCAAAGGAGATAGAGAGGATATGAAACACTTTAACACAAGTAGAGAGGTCTTGGCTAAAAGAACCTGCTTCAGTTTCTGTCCAGCCAAGGTCAGGTATGAGGAGGAGCCATAGACCTTGACAGTGCAGGCTGTCTCACAGAGGGGATATAGGCTTCCTGAAACAGCAGCAGAACACATTATTTCTTTAAAGTTCTTTCCTGAAAGGGTGTGTGAAGAGGAGAGGGTATCAGAGCCCCTCTGGTTATGGGAGAGCGGCTGAACCCCTTTGGGAAAATGGACCTGGGATGGTTGTTAGGATGAGGTGAGATGAAGGAAGGCTGCCCAGGGTGTTCCGGCCTTCTGAGGGCCCTGGCAACCTTGCTAAACATGTGGCAGTTTTTTTTTTTGTTTTGTTTTGTTTTTTTTTTGTAGATTTAGATCTTGAGAAAGGAACATGAAAGCTTGGATATATATATAGGATACCTCTGACCACTTAAAACATTGCGACAGAACTGGCTGAGCAAAAAGGGTGTTGTGGTGAAGGGTCACATAAGGGTCACATTTGCAGATCGCAGAGTTTGTACTGCAGCCAAGCCATGTTACAAAGAAACACAGGCTGTTTCTCTCTGGGATCAAATTTACCTCCGTTCTTTAGAATACATCCCATTGGTGAATGTGATGGCATAGAAGGGTCCTGTTCCAAGTTGAGGCAAGGGTGGATGACCCTAATTCCTAATGAGCCATGCCTTTGTGAGGAAAAGGTCCAAGAAAATTGCAAGGAAACTCACGGTACAATTTTCAAATAAGGGGGCATGTAGCTCTTTTGAAAGGATCTCCTGGTGAGGCATCTGTCTTAGTTGCTTTTCTCTTACTGTGGCAAAACACCATGATCAAGGGAACTTATAAAGAATTCCTTTAACCTGGGGCTCACAGTTCAGAAGGTTAGAGTCCATCGCCACATCATAGCGGGGAGCATGACATCCGACAGGCAGGTATGGCACTGGAACAGCAGTGAGCGCTTACATCTTCATGTATAAACAGGAAGCAGAGACAGTCAAGCAGACAGACAGAGAGACAGACAAACAGACAGACAAAGAGCTGACTAAGACTGGCACGGGCTTTTGGAACCTAAAAGACTATCCCAAACAACCCCCCAACCGAGGAGCAAACATGCAAATATGTGAGCCTACAGGGCTCAGGCTCATTCAAACCATCATGGTATCTATCAAGAATTGGAGATGCAACTTTAATTTAAAAAGAGGGGGGTGGATCTCCTTTTCAAAAGACCCCCTTGGTGTTGAAGCCAGCAGTCAGGGCAGTCACGTGTCTCTGTTTCCCTCTTGCTGGTGAAGTCCACTACCTGGCAGGGAGGGCCACACTTGCTCAGGCTACAGGTCTGGACTATGATGGGCGGGGACAGAAGCTTAGGTAGGCCCTCTTCGACCTCAGAGACTCAGTTTCTGCTGCTGTCGAAGGGACCGATGCATGGAGTGAGCAAGGAAGCACGTCAAACACGGGTCTGCTCCAGTGTATGGGTGTTCTTATTACAGTCCCCGGGACTGAAAACCCTGTGGGCCTGGAGAGGGTCCGTGGAACGACCACCTGACTCCAGCTTGTCTAGCCTGCCTCCAACAGTCCTCTCTGCTCTTTAGGAAGATTGTTTTAAAGCTCCCCTGACCCCCAAGTCTCCACCCCCACCCTCGGCTCTGGCCTAAGGATATCCATCTCCCTTCCTCCAGCTGAGGTGTTGTGGGGTAAGCAATACCCAGCTTCCACTGCCTGCCTGCCCTGTGCAAGCTTTGGCTTACTGGGCTGGAGGCCTTGGGACTCTGAAGGCCTTGGCTTAACAAAGGAAAACAAAGCTCTTTACACCTTCCTGGGAGCCCAAGTCAGTTTCTGAGCTTTCCCTTTCATTACTTTCCTTGATCTTCCCCACTAAGGGAGGGGACTCTTGGGACCTGACATCTACCCATCTCCAGCTGCTCTATCTGGCTCCCCACCCCATCCCTGTGTCTACTGCTGACAGCCTGTCTGCTCTGGTCCCCTCCTCCTGGATGTTGTTCCTGCTACAGCAAATAGGATCTTTCTAAACTACAAAGCAGGAAAATGACCACGAATCTCACCTGCTTAAAACCTCTCAATGGAAAAAGCTAAACTCTCCCTGACATGACACCCTCAGCCCACATGACAGGCCCATTCTCCCCTTTCTTTGACCATCCCTCTTCTACACCTCAAGCTTAAGTCACTGGCGAACAATGGGAAGGGAGATGAAGGCAAAAAGTGCCGTGGGACTCTGTCCAGCATCTCCTTTTCCCAGAAGGCCCCCTGGCAAGGTGGGAGCCCCTTTTTAGTTGCTGTAGGGTTTTGTAGTTAGACACAGTCACTGTCACTATTTTCTCCACAGTGTTCCTGGTCATCCTGCCTATGTGATACCCCAAGAACCGTGCTAGATTTGTTTGTTTGTTTGTTTGTTTGTTTTGGTGGCGGGGTCTCACTTTCTACCTCACACTGGTCTTCATCTCTTGTACACACACACAGGCACATCCCATGTTTGTGACACGGTGCGCATGTGGCGGTCAGAGGACAAGTGTATATGTACGGGAGTCTGGTTTTCTCCCATGTGGGCCCTGCGTATCACACTCAGGTTGTCAGGCTTCGCAGCGAGCTCCTTTACCTGCCAATCATCCTCTGGCCCCATCTTGGTTTGTTTTCCAGTGTTTGGGTTTTTTGTTTGTTTGTTTGGTTGGTTGGTTGTTATTGTTTTGCTTTGTTTTAAAGACCCTCTAGTAATTCTAATGTCAGTGTGGGTATTAAGGGACTTGAAAAGATGTTACAGTGTTGACAAAATCCTTCCACATAACCCACATCTGTAAACCGTAGAGGGAAGCTTGTTGGGCGATCAGTCAATCCCTCCACTCTACAAATGTGGAAACAGAGACTGTCTTTGCTCACTCGTGGTCACACCTCGGAAGCCTCATACTGGCTCAGGGAGAATTCCAGTCTTCGCACTGGTAGAATCCAGTGTAGATCCTGCTGGTGTCTCAGCAGTCTGTGTAATGAACACTTTCCCTCCCCTGCCAAACCAAATGTGTCCCTAAATATTTCTCTCCCACTCTCCCACCTCCATGCTTTACCCCTATGTGGAAGGCTTTCTCAGCCCGATCTGCCAGCTTCAGTCCTCGCTACCTTCCAAAGCTACCACCTCCTTCGCAAAGACATTTCCATTTCCCACGGTTTCTCTCCTCTTAGGCTGGAAACGCGTGTTTAGTAGAGTCCACTTTTCAGCCCTGCCTGCTGCCTGCTGCCTGCTGCCTGCTGCCTGCTGCCTGCTGCCTGCTCTGTGCTCTAGCTGTTACAGCTTCTGGAAGTCTAGCAGGTCTGAGTACGTGCTCCTTCCTTCTACAAAGACCCCTCTTGCCCAGCTCGTGTCTTCATTCTCAGGCAAACCTATTTCAGGAAACCTCCCTGAACCTCTACTCTTCCACCATGGAGACCCCTTCATCTGCTGTCAGGGGATGCCAAGGATAGCTCTATATGAATACAATGATAAGGTTTGGACTTGGAGTCAAACTTCTCTGGTTTGAATCTTGGCCTCAGAGGGGACAAATTCCCACAAGTCCCTCCTTGCCTTGTGTTTCTTTTTTGTTACATGAAGAAACGATAGCTCTACTTGAGAAGCTGTGGTACAGATTAACCTATCAATTCATGTTGAATGTGTGGATCCGGGCCTAGTCCGTGGCAAGCACTTGGTGAACATTGGTTATTTCTCTGAGATTTATTCACTCATTTGATGGCCCTGGAAAAATGCTGGTAAAAGTGGGCAGGAAAGAGGATTCTTGGAAAGATGGCAGAAGAGGAAGGAAGCATCAGGAATTTATCTCCCAAGTGTCACAACAATCCCATTCGTGGGTTCTGTCCGCTGTGCTTGTTGTGGAAATCTGGGGTCTGTTGAATGCTGGGCGCTTTCAGAGGAAGGCTTCATTCTCAAGCTGCTTGATTTCAGGAGCTGGTCATCCAAGCAGCAGCGACCTCCACCCAGTCTTGTGGTGGGCAGCTGTGCAAGTGTTTCTGGAGTGACCTATACATAGCTCAGAAAGGACATAGTTCTCAGTACAGGCTCAGCCCTGAACACAGATTTTCATTGTCACTCTGAGGTGAGGGCACAAAGACACTGGGATCCTTTGTTGGTGTGCAGGACTCTGCCTCAACTAAAGCAGCTGCCAGGGGACTCAAAGAATCAGCGTCCTTCTCTCTCCTTGTTTGTTTCCTTCTGTCCCCTTGGTAGCCACATGTTAAAGATTGTTTATTCTAAAGGAAACACACACACACACACACACACACACGCACACACACATAGAGAGAGGACACTACAAAGTAACCACAGACAGCCAGGGAAGGTATAAGCTCAAAAAAGACCCAAGAAGACAGGTTTACAGCCCAGGCTGATACTTGCAAAAACTTTTGTTTTAATTTTCTTTTTTTGAGACAAGGTTCAGGCTGCCCTGGAACTATGTAACACAGAATGGCCTGGCACTTGCCTTCCATGGCCTCTGCCTTTTCAGAGCTGGGCGTACAGGCATGTACCACAGTGTCCACCAGGACAGCTGTCAGTGAAGGGAACAACCAACCAGCTACTCGTCACCAACCCTGGAGGAAAGAACTTTTGTTTCGAGACCTACTGAATTACTAGTTTAAAATGTCAACTTTTCAACAAAATACTACAAATTTACCAAACATCAAAGTGTACCCTATTTGAAGAAAAAGGGGGGTTGGGGGCTGGGTAGGTGTCTCTCTAGGTAAAGTATGAGCCTGGAAACCTGCAATCCCTGTGACCCATATAACGGTGGAAGGAGAGGCTGATGACACAGAGTAGCTAGCCTTTTGACTGCCACACACGTGTCATGGAAAGTTCATACGCCCCATATGTCATTCACATGCACAGTAGGACTATACCAATAATAGCAATAATGAGTAAACAGAGGCTAGGCATCGTGGCACATGCATCTAATCCCAGCAACTAGGAGGCAGAGGCAGATGGATCTCTGTGAGCTGAAGGCCAACCTGGTCTACGGAGTGAGTTCCAGGACAGTCAGGGATATGTAGAGAGACCCTGCCTCAATAAATAAATAAAGAATGAATGAATGAGTGAATGATTGAATGAATGAATGAAAATGAAAAGAAAGTGAAAGGAAAATAAATATCAATGGAATATCATTGATTGGAATATTGATATCAATATTCCATTGATATCAATAAATATCAATGGAAACTGAGAAAGAGCTGGCCGCAGAGCTATTCTAGAAGACTTTAAAATAAGCAAGGGGAATGTCAAGAAAATGATGCATGAGGTAAATGTAAATAACCAAGAAAAGATGTAAAAACCTCAAAGGGAGCTTCGAGCTGAGCAGTACAAGAACCGAGATCGAAACTTCACTCCGGGGATGCAGGAGGAGAAAGAAAGATAAACAACACTGAAGTCAGGACAGCGGAAATACTTACATGTAAGGAATGACATCAGACAATCAGAGAAATGTGCATAGAGCCATCAGCTCACTAATGGATGCACCATGAAGTCTGAGAATAGACACGGGTAGAGAGAATAGTTGGAAAAACAATGTTTGGATACATCGCAAATTTGATGAAAAACACGAAGATAAACCTCTATAATTCCAGCAGACTCAGAAGGAGGACCTCAAGGGGGCCTACGGTGACATTGTAGTGAAATTATCAAAAGCCAGACTTAAAATCTTGGAAATCGTGACAACAGTATCCTACAGAAGCATCCCCAGGGGTTCGCAGTAGGAGCTGCCACAGGACCTCTGAAGCTCCGGAGGCCAGAAGCAGTGGACAGAGCCAGTCAGAACTCGAAGAGGAAAATGTGTCAACCAGAAACCCTGTCTCACCCAAAATTTCAAAAATGAGGGCGAATCAAGATATTTCTATGCTGTCCTGCAGGAAACACTGAAGGGGTTTCCCTATGGTAAAAGGAAGGCAGCAGCAACTCCAGTTGTAGATGGAAGATTCAGGGTAAAGGCACAGGCAGTCATGGGGCAAGTGTTGCCATAGGAGCAGCTTGTCACCTCACTTCCTGTTTCTGTGTGGTTTAAAAAGAATTAATTCATTTGTTTAGTTAAGGCACACAGTGAGTAAATGTGCAATTTTGTGATTTCAATAACTGGGATGAGGAAAGACCTTTTAAGGGACTGTGTGTGTGTGTGTGTGTGTGTGTGTGTGTGTGTGTGTGTTTGAAGCTAAGCTGATATAAATTCAAATTAGAGCATTATGCTTCTAAGGTGTTAAACATAATTCCACAGCTCATAAAGAAGATAGCTATAGAACAGAAATGAAAGTAAATGAGGGAGAGATTTAAATATTTTGCCACCAAAAAAAAAAAAAAATCAGACTTAGAAGAATAATGCAGGAAATAGGAGACAAAACTACAAAGCACATATAAAACAAATAACCAAAGGCTGGAGTAAAGCCTTTCACACCAGAAGTCACTGTTCTCTGTTGGAGATATGCTCTAAGAACCCCCAAAACTGCAGGTAGTACTGAGCCCTATGCATGCTATGGTCTTCCTAGTCATACAAACCTGCTAGAAATGCTTAATTTATAATTAGACACAATGAGAGATTAACAGAATAACCAGGCAGTGATGGTGCGCATCTTAATCCCAGCACTTGGGAGGCAGAGGCAGGTGGATCTCCGTGAGTTGGGGCCAGGTTGGTCTACATAGTGAGTTCCAGGACATCCAAGGGCTGCACAGAGAAACCCTATCTTGAAAACCAAAACAAAAGAGATTATCAGATACAATTAATGAAATGGAGCATAATAATAATGTGCTATGATGACAGGTAAGCATTCTCTCTCTCTTTTTTCTCTCTCTAACACAGGCAGGAGTTATAGAAGGATTATGTTATATAATGGGTTCCATAAGGACTATGTTACAGAATGAGGACTCTGGACAAAGGGGATATTTGTGTCCTGGGCAGGGTAGAGTGGAATAGAGAAGAGAGTGAAATTTCATCTTGCTACTCAGAACAGTTTAAATCTTTTGAGTTATTTCTGGAATTTTCCGTACCTTAATTGACTTTAGAAAATTGAAATTGTGGGAAAGAAAACTCTGGAAAATGGAGAGAACTGTAACTTCTTTCTTTCTTTCTTCATTTATTTTTATTTTTCAAGACAGAGTTTCTCTGTGTAACCCTGGCTGTCCTGGAACTCACTCTGTAGACCAGGCTGGCCTTGAACTCAGAGATCCACCTGCCCCTGCCTCCCGAGTGCTAGAATTAAAGGTGCACACCACTGTGCCCAACTTCATTTATTTACTTAGGTAGGATCTCAATTCAGACTGGCTTGGAACTTGCAATTCTCCTGCCTTGATCTCTCCAGTGCTAGAATGTCAGGTATGAACCACCATGGCAAATGGATAAACATACAACTATAGCTGCCTCTTGATTTATGATTGAGTTACGAAACAGTAAACCCACTTTAAGCTGGAAATGGCTCGTTATAACTGTGCTGAACATTCCTAATCTAGGGAGCACCCTAGCTCAGTATCATGACATACTGGAAAGGGCTGGTTGTCTCTGCTTGTGACTGGCTAACGGAGCCGCCCAGCATTGCAGAAGGACATCAGACCACATCATCATTAGCTGGGGAACAGCTCAAAGCTCAGTTCCTACTGATTGCATATTGACTTTACATCACATTGTGCCAATGTCAAGTCAAAAATGGTTAAGTCAAACCAATGATTAAGCGTCAGATACAAGAGGCACAAAAGAAACCATTAGGGATCACTGATATGTGCTTCCCAAGAGAGATTTACTTTAGATTCAAAGACACACATAGGTCTACAGTGGAAGAATGGCAAAAAGATCTTTCAGGCAAGTAGTCAGCAAACACTGGGGTGGCTGCACCAGGAGTATGCAAATGGGCTTGCACTATCAACAGATTTCTCCCCAGCCCTCCACAACTCCAGGGACAGACCAGACTGAAGCAGTGAGGGAAAGGAAGGAATGACAGACAGACGGACACACAGAAAGCTGCATTTAGGTGGTCTGAGCTCTTGGATGAAGAAACTTCACTCCAAGGCTGTTGTTTCAGCTTGACATGATGAGAAGGTACAGATGGAAGAGAGTGAGGCCTGCACAGCTTCATCATATCACTGGACCAAGCACTTAGAAAGGGTTAAAGCTGGGCTTGGTGGTACATACCTTTAGTCCCAGCACTCAGGAGGCAGAGGCAGGCAGACTTCTGTACGCTTGAGGTGAGCCTCTACATAGTAAGACCCTGTCTCAACAAACAAACAAACAAACAAAAAACTCTAAGCAAAAAAGAAACCTGGATGTTATGTGCATTTTACCACACAGAAACTAAATAACAAATCGATAGGAAAACTGAGGGAGGAACCTGATTATAGAGCCCAGAAAAGCATTGTGGGTGTAGAGGGTTTGGAAGGCCCCAAAGAAATGGAATGTAGTTTGAGGCCTTTGGAAGTAATGCCATGCAGTGTGCCTTGGCTGCTCTCTGGACAGGTGACAGGGCTGTTGTGAAGCAGCAAGTTTATCTACTAAGATTCCAACTTATGTGCTCCCCAATCTGATAGTGGTTGGAAGTCAGAGGCTGTTTTCCAAGTAGCTCTTACAACTGGCTCTGACAGGGCTCTGGGTATACATATGAGGCTCCGCCCTTTCCTTTTCTTTCCTTTCCTTTCTCCCTCTGGTCTCTGTATCCAGGAGCTGAGCTCGCCTGCACTTCAGACAACATGCAATGCTCCTACCACATGGATCGGACATGGGAGCTGGAAGCCCTGAGGAATCAGCCTTAACCCCATTGGTTGCCCATTTTTCATTCAGGAGACTGAGGCCCAGAAAGATAAATGGCTTGTTTATAGTCACAGAGCTAAGGAGCAGGACAGGTTCTAGTTTCCCGGTCAGGGGCCATTTCTACCTCTTCGCATTACTGCCTCATTAAACCTGCCTCATTAAACCTGTCCTGCTGTCTTTAATTTCTGTCCATCTTTCCATCCATTCACTACGTTTCCCAGATGAGCGTCTGGCATATATCTGATCGTGGCTGTGCTCTGGGAGTTCACGATCCAGGTGGGCTCACCGACGCCAGCATGGCATAGCTCCCGAAGAGTTTGAATGTCTGCCGTCAATGGAGACTGTCACACTGTGTCCAGAGCAGTCAGAGAAGTTTTCATGGGGTAGGTGTGAAGGAATCCTCTTGGACCCACAGAAGAGGGCAGGGGAGTTTAGCCAAAGAACAAGATGACTTCAGGCTGCAGGGGAAAGGGTGGAGCAAATGGTTTCAACACCGTTGAGGTGCAGGGAATGAGGGGTTCCAGTGAGGTTGGTCCTGAGAAAAGAGGAGGGGAGGGACGCCCTGGAGAGTCTCAGCTTCCTCCAGTTAGTCCGCCGGTCTCCTCCCAGAGGCCTGGTGGTCCTCTTGCCTTACCTGCCTCCCTTCACGTGCTCACTGATTCTCCTCATCTGAACTCTGCCATCTCATTCTCTCCTTTGAGCCTAGCAGCTCTTTCCACTAACCTACCCCTTCCCATTCTCCCCTCGTCCCGTCTCCCTGCCGAGAACCTGATCATGTCCTTCCACTACACAATGAAAGCATAGAGTCTTCAACATGGAGGACTCTAATTCCTGGCTTTGCCACTGCTGACTGACATCGAGGCTTGTGAGTAACGTGAGTAATTTCTAGCCACCCAAATCCTTCTGAGCCATTGTTTCATTGGCGCCCTCTAGATCACCTGTGTATGGAAAGATGTCCATTTACACTACCGGCCAGAAATCTGAGCAGATTAAGTATCCCAGATTGCCAGTGAGCCCTGGTAGCCCTGTTCTCTTACTCAGGGTGATAAACCTGTTATCAGCCTATTGCATTCAAAGGGCTGTGTACTCAGCTTATTACTTCCTGTCCTGGTACAAACAGAGCTCTGAAATGTCACCATCTTAGAAAGTTGATCTCTATGTATACTAAAGTCAGTGGCAGCTAAGAGAAAATGGGTTATATCAAGAGATTTTCAGATTTGTAAATGATAATTCACAGTAAGAAACACAGAACCACAACTGGACAGGGACACAGACAAACACACACACTCACACCATATTTGAAAGAGAAGCTTTACAGGCAGTCACCAGTGTTCATTCTTCCTACCTGTAACACACTCTGAGAGCTTTTTTTCTGCCCCATTTAGTTAGGCGTATCAGTGGTGTAGAGGCTGGAGAGATGGCTTATCAGTTAATAGCACTGTCCTTTCTTCCAGAGGACCTGGGTTCAATTTTCAGCCCCCACATGACAGCTTGAAACTGTCTGTAACTTAAGTTCCAGAGGACCTGACATTCTCATAAAACACCAACGTACATAAAAGATAAAATACAGGGGGGTGAGAAGGAAGAGCAGTGGTGGCCACTGGTGGAACTGATTTCACATCCTATCTACGGTTATGATGGGAAATGTAGAAAGTTCTGTTTGTCTTTCTCATGTTAAAACAAAACAAGACATAAGTGGAAAGAACTCCTTGCCAGCCTCCCTGCTCAGGTAAACAAGAGAATGACATTCTGCATTCATTTTTCCAGCGTTCTCACCTTCTGTTCTCCCCCTCTAGAAATGCACAAACCGACCCTGCTCCTCCCAGGCCACTGAGATGGCATACTGGCCCTTACTGCGTGGAGGGAAGCAGTCCCACCTTCCTGTCCTGCCCAGGCACTCCCTACATCTCCAGGACACACCAAACCGCTCAGGTTCTTGCTCACGGCACTCGCTCCTCGCCCAGCCTTTGCATCTGCTTCAACAAGACTGCTGCCCAGATTCACTTCACCCCTGCAGGGTTTGGCTGGCAGCACTTGGTGGTCCTTTCTGCCCTGCTGAGTGTGTTTCCCATTTGGTCTTTCGATGCTTGCTTGCAGTGGCTCAGATTTTTTTTTTCCCAGCCCTGCCAGCTCTGCGAGTCTGTGGTCTGTCGCTTGTTGCCATGTCCCCAGCACAAAGATCAGGCCCTTGCACAGAGTGTGGACACAGTGAATGTTTGTGGAAGAATAGACTTTAGACCTAGGAATGTTAAAATCATGTGCAGAACCACTGTGTGAGCCAGGCATGGTGACATGAACCTGTAATAAGACAATCTGGAGGCTGAAACCTGAGGATGTTGGTTTAGAGGCTTACTTGGATTATATAACAAGACTTAATAAACCAAAACAGAACAGCAACTACTCTGGGATCCAGAGGGGACAATAATGACATGGCTGGAACATGGATTGCTCCAATCAGAACTTGGGACACTGCAATCATGAAAGCACAGTAATTGAATTCACAAAAGTTGGGCACACGGGACCAGAGAATATGCAGGTTTCAATGCTGCCCAGATGAGATTGCTCTGACTTTCAGTTTCATTTTATGAGCTGCTTGATAAGAAGGACCACTTTGTTGATCTGGTGGCCATTTGGGAGCGATTGGGACCACTGAGTCTGATTGAGTGCCCATACTAGGCTCCCTGTGTTCTGGGATGGGTGATACCCACCAGCTTCCCTTTGTAACCAAACAGCTGACCCGAGTTGATGTGGGGACCCATTTTTCTGGGGCCTAGAGGACAGAGCTCCTTTCTAAATCCCATAGATCACTCAGCTCACAAGCAGAGGAGCTGGGACTTGAACCCCACCCTCTGACTCTGAGGTGTCTTTTCTTTCTGTTGCTCTATACTACCCTCTCGTGTCTCTCCTCTGCCTCCTGTCTTGGAGTGTGGGAAGAGCAGAAAAGAGATAGGGTAAAGATGGTCTACCAAATTGTGGTGGGGAGTGGAAGGGAGTGAGCCCAGCTCTTCAGCAGGCATGTGGCAGCCTTGGCTCACTTTCTAGGGAGCTGTTTGAAAATAGTTTCCTTTTCTGTAAAATGAAGACAGTTATTACCTTGCAAGGTGACAGAGGGAACTCCTTGAAAACATTACAGAAACTGACACAGTATTGAACATAGCAGCTCTTCGGTGAAGGCTTAGAGGTAACAGAGGTGACCTGCTAGCCAGTTGCCTCCAGAGCTGAGAACGGAAGGTAGTGAGCAGGAGACAAGAGACTAATAATTCTTGAGCATCTGATCTGAGCCAGGCGTTTGCATAAAGTGTCACAGCTGCTGCTGTTGACTCTGAGTACTCACAGCAAGGCACGTACAGTGAGCTGTCTGACTTCGTAGGTGGGAAACTGAGGCAGAGCAGGACATAAGGTTTCACATCTTTGTGAGAGCAAAACACAGATTTTCACCTTGGGCCCTTGGACCTGAGAGCCCCTGGGCAGCCTCCATGTCTGCACATCCACTGGGTTGGTCATCTCTGTGTTGGGTCATGTTGGGCCCTCTGGGTGGGTCCTGTCCCAGGTGAACACCTATCAGAATCTTCCCAGCACCTCCTCCAGTCTCCACCCCTCTATATTCCGGAGGATCACCAGGAAAGGTCCCACCTGCCTGTCTACTGTTCTTCCCTCTACAAAATGGCCTACTCCCAGTCCCAGACAGTGCCCTCTCCTGCTGGGTAAGATTCGGGCACTGTGGTGCCTTCTGTTCTCTCTGCCTTGCTCCGTGTTTCTGGTACAGAATGCTCTCTCCCTTGAGCCCTGGGGATTAAAATCTAGTGTCTCCAGTTAAAGACCCAGGAGCTGGAAGCCCAAACAAGTTCTGATCTTAAAATTGGGGCATGAAGAAAAAAGTTAGCTTGGAGTGATTGACAGGTAGTGGAGAAGAGAGATGAAGGGGTCAAGGGGCAGGGCAAGGGCACTACGGCATTTGCATGTGTGCCCAAGCACCCTGTGGTTCAGAATCAGAAACCTGCTGGGTAGAGAAAGTGTTTCCTCTGAATTAGCATCCCAGGATCAATGTGACAAGAAGGATGCTTCAGCCTATGGCAGGCAGGGAGCTGCTGGGGTTGGTTAGCGAGCTGCCTGTGGCCAAGGTGGGGTGCTCCCAACCCTGGCAGCCCTAAATCCTACTTGGGAGCTGCAGGAGAGGAACTGCCACTCAGGAAAGGAGCGAGGATGCTTTTCTGCACCAGAGGTCGCCATCATTGTTGGTGGTTGATGTGAGGGTGAGTGTTTTCCAGAGTGCATGGTGAGGCCATTTGGCCGCCTGGGAGGTGGCACTTCCACCCTGGTCCTATAAATGGAAGCTCAGGAATAGAGGAGACTGTTAGGTATAAGGCAGAAGAGATACAGGAAGTTACTTTTATGCTGTTAGCACGTATGATGGTGGCTCTGGTACATAAAGCGTACATAAGGAACAACTTAGCTAGATCTCCCAGCAGACAAGATATCTTAGTCCCCACCAGTCTTAGCCCTCACGGGTCCACAAGGAGAGCCCTGCTGTTATCACTCCCCTCTTCAGAGAGACAGACAGACAGAGCATTAGACAGCTTTCTCAGCTCCCAGAGCAGTAAGTGGGGAGCTGGCTTGAATCCAGCCTTGCACGTCGGAGTGTCAGCCTTTAACTGCTTCTCTCAGAAAGGAGGCTCTGGAGAGAGACCCCGCTAGGCTCCACGTGCCCCTCAGGGATGGATGGATGGAGTACACTCAGGCCCTTCAGCCAACAGTGCAGGAGGCTGGCCTAGCTTTGAAGGCAGGCGGACCGAAGGACAGCCAACACTCTAGGTCAGGGCACTCTAGGTTGGAACACTCTTGACATGGTAAGTGACCTGTGCTGACTGATATGTTTTATCTCCAGGGATACAAGCCAACTGTGAGTCTGTGGAAACAGTAGTGTTCACTGCTTGCTTTGGGCAATCAACTGATGTAAAGAAGAGAGAGTAAAAGGGCAGGTCAGGGACACTATGGCTTGTGTGTGTGTGCAGCTCAGGGCCACTGTAGTCCAGAATCAGAATCCTGCCAGATAGTGAAAGAATTTCATCAGAATTGGCATCCGGGGATCGATTTCACAAGAGGAATGTTTCAGGCCACAGCAGGCAGTGAGCACTCTGCCTCAGCCAGAGCACCTGGGCTGATATAGCCAAGGGAGCTGGAGTCTGGAGGAGGTGGGGTGGGGAGGTTTTCTGGTTCAGGGCTAGTTCCCTACACAGTCTAAGGAAACAGCTTTGCCCCATGGGCCTGGGTCGCTATGAATGCCAGGGAGAGACTTGGATAGTCTGGTTCTCATGTCCTTTTCAGCCCTGCATCCTCACTCTGAGTGCTGACCCCCTAGGTGGGGCTCTCTTCTCAAAGGGAGGAAACCCCAGTTGCCACGCTCCCTAGAGGACAGAAGTTCCCAGCAGCCTTTGATTTCTCCCTTAAGTCTGGCTTTCTGCAACAGAACTCACTACTCAAGGAGTGTCTGGGGATTGTAGGAGAGAAGAGGACCTGCCATTCAGACATGGTCATCCAAGCTGCACAATATCCATAGACATCTAAGCTAGCTGGGGAGCAGAGCTTTCTCTCACTTGCCCTGGGCCCGGGTCCTGTCTGGGCATCCCAGCCGCACCACTATGCTGCTAAGTGAGCTTACTACTGTGCAAGGGATACAGAGTTGGAGAGGGGAAGGCCGAGTTCACACCCTGCTGTAGCTTCAGACTTCTCGAATGCACACTGACCTTCTCTTCCCTGAGCTGCTGTGTCCTCCTAGTGCTCACGTTGCTGTGCCGTGTGAATGAAGTCAGGGGCCCCGAGTCTATGTGGGGTTGACATACACATGTGAGCAGTGCTTGGGTTCTAGGGAAAGGGAGTGGGCAGGAGAGGGATCTAAAAGACCCACGTTCAAAGTCTGACTCTGCCATTCATTTTAATAGGTAGACTTGGGCCTTCCACCCCATCCCTGTTCTCAGAAAATTCAAGAATATCTTAGAATATGAATGTCTGGGGAGAGGTACAAGTGACATTGAAGTCAACAGGCGAAGCCCTGATCCCATATGACTGTGTCCTCATAGGAAGAGGAGATTTGCGCATGGACCCCTGTTTTAAAAGCCATGTAACTATCAAGATGGCCATCTACTCACTGTGGAGCGAGGACTCACGAAACCAAACCTTGCTCTCGAAGCCCCAGAACAGTAAGGTAGCACATCTCTGTGGTGTAAGCCTTCTGGTATGTGGGAAGGAGGGGATCTCCTGGGTTGGCCTTAACAAGCCAGTGTACCCACATGAAAACTTCTTGCATTTTGCATGGTAGAGGAGACCAGAAAATGCCCAAGAAGAGGCCCGGTGCATAGAGGGACCTCCACAAATGTCCCTTGCCTATCTTCTAAGAACAGCACAGCACTGGCCTCTTGGGAAGAAGGGAATATTGCAGAGTCATCCTGTGTCAACATGAACCCAGGGCACCCTACCCTTGACTCCACCCTTATCTAATACCCAGACTGGCAACCAACCCTGCCCTCGGCCCAGCCCTGGCCTTGGGACTGGCTTCCAGCCAGGTTGATTGGGAGCTGGGTACATAGCTACCTTCACCTTTGCCCAAGTTCAGAGCAAACCTGCGATGGTTGGCGGGCCTTGGCATAGGGCACAGTTGGCAGGGAGAATGCCCACTCAGAAGTCTGGAATGGGATCAGCACCTCACTTTTCAGACTTAGTCTGACTTCCACCAACAGAGAGCTTACAAGTCACCCCAAGTCTTGGGGAGCTACGGGGCATGGGGTGGGGAGAGCCAGCAGTCAAATCCCAGCTGCGCCATGGATGGGCTGTGTGGGCTGTGTGATGCTGGACCCTCCTTCAAGCGGAGACTAGTCAGGCCCAGACACGCGGAGGCTTCTGTGACTGGAAGGTCATTTCCACCCATGGAGCTCCCAAGGCCCTCCATAATGGCATCTATTGTGATCCGTTCCCGACTAACTGCTCAGAACCGTTGCGGAGTCAAATTCCTGGAGAGTCAGGAAGTGTGGCTGTGGGTAGGAGAGCTGTCTGGCACATCCTTCCCACAGCATCCCTCCTGCGGATCTTGGCAGCCTGTGAGGCTAGGTAACAGGACCTCGGCTCCCGCCCTGCAGCTCTGGGTTCCCTCGGTGCTCTTACTTTCTAGAGCACCACTCAAACTCGTCAGGATTTTCACATTTTCTGTGGCCTCCGTTCCCTTCTCCTTAGAAGAAGAATGATTGTGTAGCAAGAACTTGGTGTTGATCACCGTTCCGTCTCCTGCGCCCTGAGAAGTCGCCTGGTGCCGAGTCCTTGTTTGACATGGGTCCTGGACTGCTGTCTGACCGTCTAGAGGTGAGGAGGAAAATGAAGGATAGATATGTGGATACCTAGACAGGAGTGGCCTGGGCCTTAGAGGCAGAAGCCACCACACTCTGGCAGACCAGCCTGTTTAGTACATACCCTTGAACAGGGAGCCAGGGTTACTGCATAGAGAGAAACAAGGAGGCGCTGTTTACGCGTAAAGCTGAACCTGGAGGCAGGTTTAGCATTTTTGGTAGGTGCAGTCTCTGCAGGAGTACAGCCTTCAGGCTGTAAACATCTTGGTGGGGGCAGAAAACTCCGGTGCCCACACTATCAATAGCCACGCTCACATCAGAGAAAGGCTTTGCCGCTCCCATGGGACTGAGGCGTTGGTCCCTGACATGGCCCTTCATGTGTCGAACAAGGCACATTCACACAAGACTCTACTTGCTCCCTGCGGCCTGGCACACAGTAGGTGTCCAGTCAGTCACTGGGGGAGGAAGGGAAAGAGAGAGAGAGAGGAACTTGTGGATCCTTTGTAGTCAGTCTTTATTGCATTTGGGATTGTTTTCTAAGTCAGAGTCCAGCTGTACTTTCTAGAGACTTCCATCTGATTCAGGAAAGAGACGCAGACGGTGACTGTTGCCGTGGCCTATTGTTCCCTGACAGAGGGGAAGAGACACTAGGCTGGGAACATGAGAGCCAGCAGCAGCTGACGGCTTAAGGCTTTGGAACACAGGGTGAGAAGCAAAGAACACTGTTGAGAAGTCAAAGGTGAGCAAGAAGTAGAGGGACAAGGGAAGGGCAGCTTTTAAGCAGATAACAGCCCTTGCAAAGGCGTAGGTGGGGAAGAGCTTGTGTGAGGGGACAGGAAGATGATGTTGTGAATGGGGTAGGGTTCAGGAAGGTGCTGGACCTAGCTTTGAGATGTACAAATCCAGCCTGTGGCTCCTCTGGGCCCTCAGAGGCCTCCTGCTGATTGAGAGTGAAGGCTGTCCAGAGGCAGCCAGCTGTTGCCAGGTGTCTGCCCTTCCAGAATTTCCCACGAGAGCTTACTCTCCTGAGCTGGTGTCTTTGTCTCTTAGTCTCTGAGGGTCTGGGGTATAGGCTCAGTTCATCCAGCACGGCTTTGGCATCTTGGAATAGCTGCATCTACCTTGAGCCCAGTTTCCTCCCTAGACTGGCAACTGGGGGGCATCAGGGCTTTGCCGGCCTTGCTCGCCAGAGCTGGTGTTTGGGCAGCCACAGCAGAGGTAGGAGAGTAGTTGATAGACACTATCTCCTCACCCCAGGAGACTGTGGGAAGGATTCTTTCTGCTTTGCTTGGCTTAGGTTCTAGCTGCTGGTCCTTTTTCAAGGTCTGTCACTGACTCTCCTGGTGGCCTCAGCAATTCTTCTGTCTCCCCCTCTCTGTTCTCATCTGTAAGACAGTTTTAATTGGCCCGTCCTCCATCTTCAGAGATGGAAAATTTCTCTCTTTGTGCTGGACTCCAGGGACATAGAAGACTCAGTGGGGACTGGAGACAGATGGTTCCACCATCACTGTCCACTCCAAATGAAATAAAAGTGCAGCTGCCACACACAGCTTCTTCTCTTCCCGGACCTTGTCACCCTATCGAATACCTTCATTGTCTTTCTCAGTGAGCGTGTGAGACAATTCTACCAGATAAAAGCTCTCACTCCCATTGTGTAGGGAAGATTGGGGCTTGATCAATCAGATATTGCTGGCACAATGGATCCTGATTTAAATCAATCTGGGTAAAAGCCGCTCACTGGCTCTGCTGTCCCTCATCTGTGCATGTTGCTACTGTGGCCAGGTTTGGGTCTGCTGCACCCCAGGTCCATCCCTGGGTAATGGTGTTGTTTCTAAGTCAGGGGAGAGAAAGTGGGAATTTTCATTAGCCATCTGACTGTGGAGCTGATCCTCATTCCTGGGGTTCTCAGGATCCATGCTTTCTGGAGGATTCCTAGCCTCCCCACCAATTTTGGGAAGTACGCTTTTGTGAGTGAGGAAACCTCTGCCCGTCACCCTCATAGCACTCATTTTCTACCGTTAAGTTGGCAGTAAGCAGAGTTCTGGCCTGGGAACCCAGGCTCTAGGTCGCAGCCCCTGGCTATTACTGGATGGGCAGTGTTGCTTGTTTGTGTTTGAGACAGGGACTCATGATCCCAGGCTAACCTTAGGCTTTCTGTATAGAAAGCCAAGGATGGCCTCGAACTTGTGATCTTCCTGACTCCATTTCTGGAATGCTGGGTACAGGGTACACTGCCACACCTGATTTTATGTGGTGTGTGTTGGGGGGGGGGGTAAACTGAGGGCTTTGCTTGTGCTAGGCAAACTCTCTATCAGCTGACCTGTATCCTCAGTGAGTCTTCTCTGTGAGACACCAGATTCCAGATGTACAGACATGAGGCTGGGGCAAACCCTCTGAGCAACACATATGAAGTAACTGCGCATGAGTCAAACCCTGTCTTGGTTGGATCTGGAAGGTGAGTGTGGTTCTGAATGGTGTCCCTCCCCCTCCACAAGGCCCCTCCTAGATCTGCGGCTGCTCATATGAGTCCACCCTGCACCTCAGATCATTTAGGAAAGCAGACAGTGATGCAAGCGGGAGGGTCTCGGAAGGGATGAGGTCACTGTGGCTGGCTGCCCAAAAATGTGGTGATGGAGGATACCGTTGGATCAGGCCCACTTCTAGGCAGCCCCAGCTTCCATCCTGCAAGGCAGTGATAACAATAGTACCTACTTTTAGAGGGTTGTTAATGAGGAGAGTAAAATAGGGGCTAACAGGAAGCATGTTTGTAACGCACATGGCACTGAGCCTAAAGTACTCAGCACTGGGAAAGAATGGCGTCGAGAGTGTCATGATGGTGGCAGTAATGGCAAAGAGAGGGAGAGGGATGATGTCACCATGATGGTGTCACCCCTGTGCTCCCTCCCGGGTGCCTTTATCCAAGACGTCCCATCCTAGTACAAACATGTCCAGAGAAACCAAGTAGCCAGGGCCTGGCCTCTGAATTAGGAAGAGGCGAAATGCTGGCCCTCAAGGACAGTGAGCCTTCAGTGGCTGTGTTCTGGGCAGGTGGCAGCACCAGCTTTGAAAGAATCACCAGAAGTCTTCCCAGGGGAGGCAGCGCTTAGCAGCAGTATTGATGGAGGAGTAAGAATTAGCTGAGAGAGTAAAACGAGATTTCTCTTTTCCCTCTAAAGGCATTCCTGGCAGACGAAATGACAGGAGCAAAAGCAGAGAGGTGTGAAGCAGCCTGTGGAGATTGGGAAGCCGTGAGAGGCACAGTCTGGCTAGTTGGGAGTAAATGGCAGCAGGCAGATGAGGGAGGGGTGTCTGGGGCAGATCTCTCAGAACCTGGGGTACTAACTCATTTACAACCTAATTGTACGTTATGCCATAGACATTCCAAACATCTACGCAGTCCTAAGTGCTTTTGTGTTGGACACTATGGGTGCAGCCAGGATACCCCTGTACGGACCGTCAGGCTGGATCACTCCTTCCTCAGTTGCTGAGATTTCCAGGGGCAGAGTTTGAGCTTAACATTCCTCCCTGCCATTGCCTCCGAATCTAGTGTTTTGCCCCTTCCTGCATCAGGTAACTGGTCCACACGGGGCTGGGGGTGGGGGTGGGGTGGGGGTCGGTGTCTGGGACTCTTCCCTCAGTTTGACTAACTGTGAGAAGCCATTCCAGAAGCTGAGGAAACGGCTCAGTATATAAAGTCCTTGCTATACAAACCTGAAAAAAACCTGGTTTTGGATCCCCAGCAAAAATCCTGTGTCAAATCCTGGCACAGATGCACACCGTGTGAAATCCCAGCACGGAAGAGGTGAAGGCAAGAGGCTGGAACTTACTGGCTAGTCAGCCCATCCAAACTAATGAGCTCCATGTCTGGTGAAACACCAGGTCTCCCAAAATAAAGTGGAGGGCTGGTGAGATGGTTTATTAGTGAGTTGGCGCTTGCCACCAAGCCTGACAACCTGAAATCAATCCTTAGGACCGGTGTGGTGAAAAGAGAGAAACGAAACCCACAAATTGTCCTCTGACGTCTACATGAGAGACGTGAGGGTGTCTCACATAAGGGTGAGAGCTCATGAGCAAACACACACACACAACTAAATAAAAAATTTAAGTGGGGAACAATTGAAGAAGACACCCAATGTTGACCTCTGATCACAAAGGCACATGCATTTGTACCTACACACTCTCATGAACACACCCACAGGAACACATATGTCTACACACACACACACACACACACACACACACACACACACACACAGCCATTCCAGCTCCACATCCCTGGGGGGAGCAGAAACAGGCCTTTGAGGGGTTAACCTGGAAATCCAGTTTGTCCCTTTGCCCAGTCCTGCTCCAGTCCCTCCCCACAGATGCAGACCTTGAGAGAACTTCCCTCAAAGAAATTCTGCCAGCAACTCTTCCTCTTGGCTTCCTTCCCCAGAATCCCTACCTGCAATAACCATCATGCAAGGGTGTTCATGCTGGGTGACATATCATTGAGGGCTGATGAGGGACCCTGCTTTTTGAAGGCATCTCTGTCGAGAGTAAGGGAATGAACCGGAAGGACACATTGGAATCGGCAGTCAGAGTAGACGTGATTGTTGCAATTTAGCAGAGAAATGGCGTGGGCATGAGGTGGTGCAGGCAAGATGGAGGGATAGATCTGGGCAGGGGTTGTTGCTTAAAGAACAGGGGAGAGTCTGAGGATGGAAAGGACCTGGGGGCTTTGGAACATCATGGCAGAGATGGAGCCAGGAAAGATTTAATGAGAGACTCAGCTCAGTGAGCAAGGTGGCTGCCAGGCATCTGGGAGCAAGGGCCCTGGAGGTGTTTAGGAGGTGGTGTGACCTGGAGGTGTAGAGCCGGGATAGAAACAGCTGGTGGTTTATGGAGCAGCCATTCACCCACTGAGTTTATTAGCAATCAGGAAGTCAGGGTCCTGGAGAGGAGGGGAGGCTGGATGTTAACCCTTTGGTTGCCGAACCTTGCTGGGTTGGGGGAAGAGGCATGTGCAGCCTGTGGAGCCTCTGCTTACAAAGCAGCCAGCTAGCATCCTTGCCTGCCAACTTACTGCAAGCCCTGCTGCTCTCTCTGAAACCCTCCCAAGGACCTGCTAGACAGACTCCTCAAATCCCTTGTCTTAAAGAAGAAGCTACGGCTCAGTGAGGCTCCTGCCTTGTGGGAACCAGGCAGGAGCCAAGAGCAGAGCTGGAGTTGATCCAAGCTCATCTGACACATGCCTGTAATTGTTGGAGGGGAAATCGGGCCCTAGAATTTTTGGCTCTTTAATCGGAGTCCTTTCCCCTTGTACAAATGGTCACTTCCTATGGTGAATTCCAGAACTTTTGATCTTGAGCCAACTTCTCCTTCCAAGAAACAGAGCTGAGAATGACCAGTTTATGGGGACTTGGGGTGGAGTGGGATTATCTTAGCGGAATTTCCAGGCCTGGGAATCCCCCAGCTGTGAGGTGGAGCCCTGACATATATGGGAAGGCCTCTGTGGCTGTGGCAGCAGTAGTCTCCCTGTGGATGGCACCTCTGCATTGTCAGGAGTGGGGCTCCCAAACCTGCCTCAGCTCAGGCCCTCCACCTCCATCCTGCGCCCTGTGGGGAAACTGGCTCTCTTCAAGCACCGTTTCCTAAAAGCTTTTCTGTACAGCCTGGCCGTTTTGTTGAACTGTGGATGACTGTAGTCTCCCTTCTCCATGGTTTTATGTTCCATGGCTCCAATGACCTGCTCTCCACCATGATCCAAATATATTAAATGGAAGCAAAGTATGGCGGCACACTCCCATAATCTCAACACTGGGAAGGCAATGGCAGGAATGGATTGTGAGTTCAAGGCCAGTCTGAACTGCATGGTGAGACCTTGTCTCAAAACAAAACAAACAAACAAACAAAAAAAAAAAAAAAACCAAAAAAAAACCCACAAAGCAAATAATTTTAAGAGGAAAAATTTCAGAAATAATTTATAAAGTTCAGATTACATGCAGCTGTAAGTAGCTTGATGATAGCACCCTGGTGCTGTCTTTCTGGGTCTCACCCAGAAAGTGAGGCACCCTTTTGCACATCATACACTGTGCGTGTACATCCTCAAGCAGACACCGTAGCTAGTAGACCCCCTGTGGAAGAGTCGGACAAGCACCACAGAGCGTGGCAGTAAGCCCTGGCCGTCCCCTGTCAGGCTGTCCACCGTTTGTTCTCCTCATCCTGGAGCGGTCCCAGCCTCGCTTGCTCATTCACAGGTCCAGAGTCAGCCACGGCAGAAAAATGGCTGAATTCAAGCCCTCACTTCAGAGATATGGACATAGTGAGGCTCAGAGAGGACAGGGACCTGCCCAAGGCCACCCAGTGCTCTGGCGTACAGTATGTTCCAGCCTGAATGTCCCAACCAGCAGCCCAGTGCCTTTCCATGTCTCAAATCAATGTCAGAAGTGGCATCAGGCCAGGGGATTGAGCAAATCTGGAAACTGACGAGTTCAAGGTCTGGCTCCACCCTGGACTTGCTAGGAGCCTTTGGCAACTCACCAGCTGCACAGCTTCAATTTCCTTGGTTTTGAAATCAAAATAATGACTCCTTCCTTACCAAGTTCTTGTGAGGACGTAGCGAGAACAGCATTGCGGGGGGGCGCACAGAGGGCCTGAGTTGTTTCAGTTCACTTCAGTTGTTTCAGTTTCAGTTAATATTAAAGGTGTTTCCTTTAATATTAACACGGGCACCACCAGCTGTGTGCGCTCGGACACACGGCTTACTCAGGTCTCATCCAGAGCCATGGCAGCTGCATGAGCAGCACCCATGGGCACACAGTGACTGCTCACTAACGCTCGGTGTCTCCAACTCTGCATGCAACCGCTTCTGCTTTCACAGGCGGCTGCAGGGGAGCTGCCCCTTATCTGAAGACCATAGCCCAGTAGACAAGAAGAGGCAAAATTGTGATTGAGAGATAGGAAAATAAGGCGGAGCTAGCTTTTAAGATCATCTTCTCATGGAACTTTGAAACAAAGCAGCATGTGTTTTAAAACCTGGCATAGCTCGAACCTCCCTGGTCACACCCAAGACTTTTGTAGGAGCCAGAACCTGCAGGTGGGCCTCCCTCCTCTAGTCTTTCCAGCCAACACTGTCCCAGATCCTGAGCAGAACTCAGTATGAAGACTATTCCTGTGTGGTCGTGGCTACAGCTGAGCAAATGCCAGAAATGCTCTTTTGGTAGCTAGATTCCATCTGGAGTCGTGGGAACAGGATAGTCTGGATCTGGGAAGATTCTGGTGCCTCAGAGTTCAGTCTTCATTTATCTCCGTTCTATTTCATGAATGTCAAGAGGCTGATGGTGTCCAGGAACGGGACACAGCCCCAGCCTGATGCCCCAGCAACATCCACTCTCATTCCAGTCAAGGGCATTCCTTCTTTGGTTTTTGTTTGTTTGCTTGGTTGGTTGGTTTTGGTTTTTCCAAGACAGGTTTCTCTGTGTAGCTTTGGCTGTCCTCGAACTAGCTCTGTAGCCCAGGCTGGCCTTAAACTCACAGAGTTTAAGAGTTTCTGCCTGCTTCCACCTCTCTAGAGCTGGATTAAAGGTGTACACCAGGCTTAGGCCTTCCCTCTTTTGTCCTCCAGTCACACAGCCTGACAGCATTTCAGATGGTTTGCACGAGAATGCTCCCATAGACTCATGTACTTGACTCCTTCATCTCCAGTTGGTAGAACTGTTTGGGAAGGATTAGGAGGTGTCACCTGGTTGGAGGAAGTGTGTCATTGTGGTAGGCTTTCATGTTCCAAAGTCCATGCCCTTTTCAGTTTCATGGAACATAAAACCATGGAGAAGGGAGACTACAGTCATCCACAGTTCAACAAAATGGCCAGGCTGTACAGAAAAGCTTTTGGAAAAAGGGCATGGACTTTGGAACGAACATGAAAGCCTGAAAAGGGTTAGTTAGTTCTCTCTCTGTCTCTGTCTCTGTCTCTCTCTGCCTTATGGTTGTTGCCTCAAGATAGGAGCTCTTAGCTACTATTCTAGTGCCATACCTGCCCGTTGCCATGCTCCACACCATGATAGTCATGAACTCTGATCCTCTAAAACTGTAAGCAAGCCCCCAATAACTCTTCTGTAAGTTGCCTTAGTCATGGGGTTTTGTCACAATAATTGAAAAGTAACTAAGACAGCATCTCTGTGTTTCCCCATGGATGTGCTTGCTCAGAGGCAGCTCAGAAATGAGCATGACAGGTCCCATCTGTTGCCCCCTCTATCTCACTGCACTGCCACTGCCCATTTTGCACCAAAGTCCTGCGCCAACTTGGACCCAGGGAAGACTGGACCCAGGTGGAATGGGAAGTACTCTCAATACAACAGTTCTGTCTTACCCTCAGGGGTGCATTCTTAGACTCCCAGGGGGTCACAAAATAACCTCGAATAGTGCAGCATACTATATACAGGCTCAAGGACAGAGGAGGACTGGGACCAATGCAGGGCCTGGCTTGGCCTCCTTGTTCATGAACATTTAGGCAGCTGAGGACTGCATGGGGAGACACTCACCATGCATGGGAGAGCAGGATGCTCTCAGCTCTTGCTGCTCGCTGAAGCACTGTGAGCAAGCGAGTCCTATTTTAATTCTCATTTTTACACCCAAGGAAGGAGGCCTTAGAGACACCAGCAGGCTTTTCCAAGTGTGTACCTGAAACAGGTGGTAGAGCTAGGAATCAAATCCAGACAACAAAGCTTGTTCTCCTGCCCCTCACCGGCCGCAGTACTCAGGAGAGTGGGCCCAGCACCTTGCCTGGGCAGCACAGTAGAGCTGGCCCTGGTGACTGAGGTGTGGCCCTGAGCAAGGGAGCGCAAAAGAGCTGGCCTGCCCATCATCTGCCTTGGGGTGGCACGGGCAAGGAAGAGATGCCCTCCCGGGAGGGATGCCCTCCCTGCCTCGCCCCTTGCTGTCTACAGCAGGCCAGAGAGCTGGCCCTGAGGTCATGAGATGGGAGAGCAGGTTCCGCACCTCACCGGGCAGCACAGCAGAGCTGGCCCTGGTGGCAAAGGTGTAGGTGAGCTGGCCTGAGGACATGCGAGCAGGAGAGCTGACCCTACCCCTTGCTGGCTGTAGCACTGGGTGAGCTAGGCAAGGCAGTGCTGGAGAGCTCACCCTGGTGGTTGCAGGCACCGGAGAGCTGGCGGGCTGACCATCTACTACCTCTTAGGCCCAGATCCAGACGCTTCAGTTGGCCCACCCCAGCATCTACACCGCCTGTGAGCTGCTGGAGTGCGTGAAGGAACTTGTCCTGCAGATCGAAAGTTGTAGGATCTCCATGACACAGGACTCCATAGGAGACCGGAGAAGGGTCCCCGTGAGGGTCGAGTATTGACAGAGCAGCAGAAGCCAGGACCCTCGGGACAGAGCAATGGCTCATTTGCAAGTAAAGATATGTAGACAAACGATCTACCGTGTGACACACTACAGCTTCCATGACAAGATTTTTTTTTTAAATTCTATCGTGTTTTCTTTTCTTTTGTGGGGGGAGGTTACAAGGGCAGAGAGTGGATACGAAGGGATTAGGAAATGAGTGGGACGGGGGTGCATGATGTGAAACTCACAAAGAATCGATAAAAAAGTTTAAAAAAAAAACACCCCAAACCAAAGAACTTAGGCTTCTATCCACATCCCGCTGGTACCTTCTAGCCTCCCCAAGCCAGACAGTTACCGTGCGCAGCAGGCAGGGCCTCTGCGGGAAACTTGTTTAAGCTGGAATATTTCAGGCTTCATCAACCCAGGGCTATTGAAGCCAGACATCATTACTTACATTTGTGATCCTAGCACTTTGAAGGCAGAGGCGGGAGGATTGCCGCTTGAGGCTAGCCTGGGCTATTTTTTTCCTATGGCTGGCTCACCACATTAGGTAAGATAGGGGCCCAGACATTTTTCCTCAGCTTCAGCAACCCGAAGTCCATGAACCAGGAGGTTAACCGGGGTCCCACAGAGTGAGACTCTGTCTTTAAAACACTGGGAAGGACTATGGACTAGGAGGAAAGATGAAGAGAGGATGGTGTGGAGGGAGACTACCCAGGCTTGTGTCACCACCTTGTCAGGCACAGCCAGACTGATGCTGCCCAGAGCCCAAAGAAGTGATGCAAGAGCCAGTCATGTGGAGAAGGATGCCCAATAGGAAATATTCCCTTTGTCAAGGGCTATGGCCAGGCCAAGGAACTACCTGGAAAGAACCTGGGAGTAAAAGAGAAGGCGAGCTGATTTGGAAAGACTGTCCACCCACCAAGCACACATCATCTGCCCCGCCACACACACATTGTCTAGCTACCTTGCGTATCTCTCCTGGCATTGCTGTGCCAGTCCCTGCTCTCGATGGGAGGAGGAGATTACTACAGACAAAGCAGATATGGCTGCTTTTGTTCATTCGTCAGGCCTCCGGAGACCCCTCTTTGGGAAGCTGTGCTCTGGGTGTTTGGGACGAGAAGTCAGCCTAGCACTGCCCTTGACCTGCAGAGGAGCCACTCGGGTGTCCTGGGAGATAATCAGGGCTGCTTTCTGTGTGCATCTGGCAGAACAGATGTCAGAGGAGATAGATGCCATCCAACCAGCAAAAGAAAAAAAATCCATCTTCTGAAGTTACCCATTGGCCAACAAATCTTGAGATTACACGCAGCTTTGGAGACGGGAAACGGGAGTCTTGCTGATGAAGGGCTCTGCACGGAGCCCACGTGGGACTCAGTGACCTCATGAAGAAACAAAGCCCCAGCTGCAGAGGACCCAGTCACACACAGACTTCGGACTTCAGAGCCCTGAGGGACGGGGAAGCTAGGCTTCAGTCCCAGCTCAGCAGGGTACCCTCGAAGGAGCTGGACCGCCCTCTGGGCCTCAAATCCCTGCTGCACAGAGACACCAGGCCAAGGGGTTCTGAGGCTCCTGTGTCTTAGAGGAAAATACAGCTTGGTGCCGCCCCACCCTACCCCCACACAACTCCCTCCCCAGAGCAGGAGCCAGCCCCTGCTTGAATGCCTCCCCAACTTCTGATTTCCTCCAGGACCTTAAGTTCCTTCCCTGCTCCCTTGTCCTTAATTATCCTGCTCCCTTCCACCCTGACTTAATTACTGCTCATTACCTCTCGCTGAGCAGACTTGCTGGGAGGCTAACCATGTTGGTAGCATTCAGCCAAAGGCTCCAAGCATAGTGGGGCCTCTGGGAGCCCACGTAGGGATCTGGGAGGGGGAGGGTTCTGCCCTCCTATCCTTGGCGCGCCTAACACCGACAATACTTGACGCTCACGCAGCTAGGAGCTGGCTAGGTGGGGATGGGGAGATTAGACTCTCCCCGCTACCTCAAGTGTGTTTGTTTGTTCATGTGAGTAGCTTTTATTTTTTAATTTTAATTTCATTAGTATTCTTAGTTATCGCACCAAACGATGGGTTCTATTATGCCATTTTTACACATATATAACACTGTGCTTGGCTGATAACATTGAATATGTCCTGTACAGCCCCCTCTCCCATTCTTCCTCTACCTGTTCTTGCTGGTCTTCTTCCTACCAAACTGAACCTCCTTTGCTTTCATGTTATGTATATCCACACCCAGATTCTGCATGTAAGAGAAAAATGTGATATTTTATCAGTCTTTTCCCTTACATTCTCTTGTTTCCTCAACTTTCTCCTTAGTCCCCCTCCTTTATTAGGCCATCAAAGTCATTTCTTGCATCTATCAGTTTCATCTATTTCGATCTATCTATTTATATGTCAGTTTTCATGATCTGTATGAGACCCTGAAGTACAAAGCCTGGGGCCTTTGTGCCTGACTCTGAGAGGGTCTGCCAGTGAAAATGTGGGCTCAGCAAATGCCAGGGGGAAAATCGAGCAGCTCAGCTTGCCTGTGGGAATGCCATTATGGAGATACTAACCTTGACAATACCCTGGCATTCTGCCTCTGCCCCCTCCAGACCATAGAGGCCCCTAGGCAGAAGGGCTGCAAAAGCCTTAGTTCTGTGCACAATGCAGAGCCTGCCAGCCCGCACCGGAAGTCAGACACTAAGGATGCACTTCTGTGCCTAGCCCTGATGCAGCCAGCCTTCTGTCCAGCCCCAACCAAGGTCACGAAGGTCACAATCTCTGAAGCCAGAAACTGCCATTCTGCTGTGATGGGAGCAGGTTGGAAGACAGAACTCCATTTGTTCAGGACCAAGATAGCAGAGCCCTGGATCCTGCTCTACCCACTCGGGCACTGCATCCCTAACTCAGTTCATAGCAGGTCACTGGGTCACGTTCTTGTCTGTCAGTGTGTGAGACTGTGACCTGGCACTGAGAATAAAAATGAGCAGGGTTTTGCGGGTGTGTGAGTATGAGGGTGTGCTCAGGCAGGAACCACACTGTACCAAGTCAGATAAAATCTGATTTTATCCAGGGAAGCACAAGAGACACTGCTGGCCCCGTCAGTCTCCAAGTCAAGGTGTGCGGTCCCCACGAGGCACTCCTTAGTGGTTCTGAGCCAGCTGACTCCCAACCCTGTATTCTTTCCAGGGTCTGTGGGTATCTTGAGATGAAGGGCCCCTTTGGCTGATAAGGAGGCTTTTGGGGGAGGGGGAGCCAGGGAGATCTTCTGAGTCATCCAGAGCAAACATGATCCCTTGGTTCTTAGAGCAAAACCATCACTAGTTGGGCTAGAGAGATGGCTCAGCAGTTAAGACCACTGGCTGCTCTTCTGCGGGATCCAGGTTTGAGCCCCAGCACCCACATGGTGGCTCACAGGCACCTATAACTCCAGTCCCAGGGGATCTGACACCCTTCTCTGGCTCCTGCAGGCACATGAGGCAGACACATGCAGGCAAAGCACCTAGGCACATAGACAAACAAACAGAAACATTAACAACAATAACAATAAAACCCTTCACTAGCTGGATACCTATGGAGAGCCAATCTCTGCAGAGGAGGGAGGGTCCAGGCCTGAGGCTGAGAGGGGGGAACACAGCTGACGGAAGAGCCACTTACTGAGACAACTGTGTTCTGTCCTTAACACTTGACTAAATTAATCCCCTCTAACACCTTGGGAGGTTAGCTTATCATTCCCATTTTATGGAAAAGAAAACAGGCACAGAGAACAGGGGGCGTGACCTGCCCAGGTTGCTCTGAGCTTTCTTTTCTTTCTCTCCGTTATCCCAGCAAACTACTCCCATTTCCATGCTCCCTAGAGTTCAGTGGACCAGTGGGAGAGCTTCAGACTTAAGTCTCTACTCTGCACTCCGAATCCACCCCTCACCAGGCTGGTGCTCCCTGAGCCTGAGGGTGGGGAAGAACAGGAAAGTGGGTGGCACCTGCGTCTCGCAGAGCGCCAGCCTCCTCGGGGGTGGGGGTGGGGGTCTGTGGAACCACGTGGTGGGCTCCTAGATGCTCTGCCCTCTCCTCCCTCTGCTGCAGGGCGGGGCGCACACCAGTCTACCCGCCGAGGCTTTCCCGGTGTCGCCAAGACTTCCTCAGCGTGATGGTTAGTGTCCGGTCAACTAGGCAGGATGGAGAATCCCCCAAGGGAGAAAGCTCTGATGTCTCTGGTGAGTTTCTAGGTTGGGGTAACTGATGTCAGAAGGCTCACCTGGAACCTCCAGCTCCATCCCCCGAGCTGGAGTCTTAAGCAGAATAAAAAGAGAAGGAGAGTTGTGCACCAGCACTCATCTGCCTCAACTCCCTGGCTGCAGCCAACGCAGGGTGACCAGCCCCTCCCACTCGCCCTGGTGTCCCTGCTGTGATTGACAGCACTTTCAGCCAATCTGGGAGACCAAATAAACTTAAGTCCCTTCTTCTTGGGTGTCCGGTCCCAGCAAGGAGAAATGTGAGCAATTCACCTGTCAGATTCAACAGATACTTCCAAGGACCCTTGGTTGGCTGCCGTCATCGAGGCCCCGTGTCCTCCTCCTTCCAACGGTCCTCAGCACCTCACCTCTCAGAGTCTGTCCTCTCCTAGGTCCTTTCTAAGGCCCCTCGTTCACTATGGCTGCGTTCGCGCCTTCCTTCACCCCATCAGCCCTTCACCCTCTCACATCCAGCTGCACCACCTGTCTAGCTTCAGACACTGCCAGCAGCCCCAGGGGATGTCCTCACCCTCTGTAGGCTCAACTGAGAAAGAGGGAGGTCACAAAACCCAGGCCTGCTGCTGCCTTCTCTCTGTATCAGACCTCCATCCACACACAGAAAAGCGAGTTGGTGTGACCCCTTCTAGCTCAGTAGTGCACAATTCTCCGATCTAGCTCATACGGTGCCCAGAGAGGCAGACACGCATGCCCATGCATGTGCATTGCGGCCCAGTATGACCCAAATGGGCTGTCCACATGGGATGCACCGACCCTGTGGGAGACACACAGCAGAGCCCTGACATGCCTGCTACACACACACACACACACACACACACACACACACACACACACACACATATACATATACACACATATATACACACACATGCATA